TATTTAGTATTGTATGCTTCACCGACTTGAACCTGAAACCTTAGCATCACATGTCCAACACCATACAAAGTGAGCTACCGAGCAAGCTGACCATGCCAGAAAAGTTATCCATATGGTGACAGATACAGTAAGGGTGCTTTCACCTAGACTTTTGTTTCGGAATCTGTCTCGTTTGCCCAGTTAGCGCAGCTCGTTTGGCATATGTGAAACCAGCAATTGTGCTAGGATCCGCCTCAAAACAATTGGTCCATGATCACCTGAATGAGGTGGTCTTGGCTCTTTTGAAACAAACTCTGGAGAGGATCGATTGTAGTGAGAAAACGATACGATCCGAGCCCGGCTATATCACAGTGTATTATGGATATGTAATATTCATACAGCTATATGAAGAGAGAATTATGAGTAGGGTGGGATGTTATTCCTACCGGTAAATGTGCGTTTCATGTAAAATACAAAAGTGAAAGCATACTGAACTATTAACAAGAGCTGATTAGGATAATTGACCTAACAGAAAGCCTGTAATGCATTAGCCAACTGCTATGTATGAGAAAGTCCAGCCTGATCTCACGAGAAAACGTAAGTATTTTACGTTTTGCCAGTTTAGTAGCTAATTCGTACGAATTCGTACGAGTTCAGTCGTACGAAATGGTACGATTTTAAAAAGGAGGCGTGGCACCTAACCCCACCCCTAACCCCAATCGTCATTGGGGGATAAGCAAATCGTACTAAACTGTACGAATTAGATCGTACGAATTCATATGAATTAGCCACTAAATGAAAAAGTTACGAATTGCCGTGAGATTGTGTTGGAAAGTCTTACTTCTGCTCTATATATAGTGATGATGTCTGTGGGTGTCACCAATTGAAATGAAAGTGCAGCTTTTTGCTTATAATGTCTTTTTGCTCATTGCCATAACTTGGCAACTGAACGAGACTGCAAAATAAACCATGAAACACTGACCAATGTAAAGAAAATTTACTCACACATGCCTTGTTTTAGCAATTATGGTCCATTTAGAAACTTTGCAGTTGAAAGCAAACCTCACCAAGAACAAAAAGCAACCATGTAACAATTTTAATTCCTGTTTTGGAACAAATGAATCGATTGACAGGTGTGAAAGCACCCTAAGTCAGGCAACTTATTTGATAAAAACTGTACACATTTTTATAAGGTTTTATTTGATGTTGTGCAAAGAACTGCATGACAATGATTAATTAGTTGTCAATATTATTTCTTTGTAAACATCATTAGTGTGAGAATAAACAAAAGTCGTTAGCATCATACACCCCCTTACTATTCATTTTACCTAGAAACTGGAGTCAAAACATGTTGAAGTACACTTTGGCAGTTTTATACAATTGCAGGCTGAAGCATGAATGGCCAAACAGTGTTGTCTGAAAACCGTTCATGTCAAATTCATGTCAAATCATCATCAATTTACCAACACATAAAATAAGATTGACTGGTCTTATATAGTAATTAAATCTGGAAAGTGCAGTTGATCTTTAAATAGTCTGTGTTTTGCTTCCTTTTGATGGTGACCCAGAGACTCTTTCTTTTTAAAGACGCTACAATCTATTATTAGTGCTTTTACTGTCTTTATTTTTGGTTCAACTAGTCGGGGAGAAAACTTCATGTCATTAATTTGAGCACACACATCTTTCTAAAGTGTTCTTTTACAGTTTTTATAGTTTTAAGTGTAAGAGACAATTAGAAATGACATCTCTACCATTTAGACGTATTAAGAAATGCTTTAGGCAGCATCATTTACACAATAAATTTTGTGAAATGACCACACTACCTTTTACAGATTAGACAGCATTCATCAGCACCAGAATGCTTGCAATCTGTCTTCAATGAATCTGGTCACACTTTATAAAAAGGTTACATTAGTTAATGTATTAACATAAACAAAGAACAATACATTTGCTTATATTTGGTACATGTAACGTCAATGGAAATAAAGTTGTTCTTGTTAGTCCTTTTTAACTCACACAAGCAAGATTTTCACTTTTAATAATTAATTTCTATGCATAAAAAATGCTTTTTAAGTATTGTTCATACTTTGTAGATATTAGTAAATATATCAACCAACATTAATGTAACTAAATTGTAAAGTGTGACTAATGTTAAACGCATAGACTGTGGGATTTAGGGGATGGTCAATTGTTACTAAGGGTCAATAGTGTGTCAAAAATATGCCTCTGTGTCATTGTCAGCACCACCAAAAGCTTGTCAGCAGAACCAATCCTTCAATTAGCCCAAATTCTGACCTTACTATTTGAAAGCTGGAGCAGAAAGCATGTCTGACCAGATCAGGCAAGTGATTTTTTTTCCATCTTCCATTTCCAACTTTTGTTGAGTTCTGTTCTTAGTTTACAAAAGGGGTGTAAACCAGTGTTGTTTTCTGCAACCAATACAAATCCCTATGCAATATCAAAATCACTCAATCATGTTTCTTCTCCTTTTTGATGTTTGGTTGAATTTAGCAGATTGTTTTGTCTACAGTATGTCTACCTGCTAAAATGCATCTTGATTGATTCCATGTGATTGGCTGATTAAAATGTTTACGTTGTTGTTGTTCTTGTTTTAAGGGGCAGTTAAACAGGTGTACCTAATAAAGTGGCCAGTGAGTGTAGCAGTGTGCAATAATAACTGTAGCATTGATGACTGGAAGAGAAGGCAGGATCTCGAGCACAAGATGGTCAGATTTTAATCTAGTGCATGTTTAAATGGAAAAAAAACATGAAAAGCATCAGATTTTACTGTAAACTGTTTATTTAGGCCAAAAAGCAGGCCTCTCAAGTCAAAACTTCCTGTCTTTATTTGTGCTCATATCAGTTTGTTCAAGTACTGTTTAGCATCATAATTATGATTAACTGGAAAATGGGAAAGTGCTTAACCTTTAAAAAAATATACATGGCAAACACTCAAAAAAATTCTTAAGTATCTCAATTCTTACGTTTTTTTTTTATTACACTTAAATGTTTGGCCGACATGGTGGCTCAGTGGTCAGCACTGTCGCCTCACAGCTATAAGGTCAGTGGTTCGAGTCTCGACTGGGTCAGTTGGCATTTTTTGTGTGGAGTTTGCATGTTTTCCCCTTGTGTTTGAATGAGTGTGCATGGATGTTTTTTCAATACTGGGTTGCAGCTGGAAGGGCATCCGCTGTGTAAAACATATGCAGGAGAAGTTAGCGGTTTAATCCACTGTGATGACCCCAGATGAATAAAGGGACTAAGCCAAATGAAAATGAATGAATGAACTCAAATGATTTATGTTCAATCAACTTAAATTTCAAAATAATTAAGCTATCTTAATTTGTGTTGGTACTACTTAAATGAATTGTGTGGAACCCATCTTTTTTAGCTATAGTAAAAAAAACACTCAATGTTGAAACTCAATTGTTCAAACTACTTATTTAAAATGAGCTGAAACACAATTTTTGTGATTTTGTTGGGATAACCTAATTTTTTTCTGTTCAATCCACATAAATATGTTAAAAGTGTTAAATTAACTTAATACATTTGTGTTGGGTCAACAAGAATTAATTGTGTGGAACCCCACATTTTTTTTACAGTGAATGCTGGGTTCCACACAAAGGATTTGTGTTGGGACAACATGAAAGAATTAATTTAACCTATTAGTTTTTACAAATTTAGGTGGATTGAACATAAAACAGTTAAGTTGTCCCAACAAAATCTCAAAAACTGTGTTTCAGCTTTTTTTTAATAAGATGTTTGAACAAGCAACAAAAAATATTTGTTTGAGTGTAATAAACATTTTTTTTGTTTGTTTGTTTGTTTTTTGTTTTGCAAACGTATTATTTGATTTTAGAGCTAATAATGTTTAAACCATGATAATGAAGCAAAACCATACAGTATTTACCATAGTTTAACAACAATAACCTTTTTTTGTAAAACCAAACAGTTAAGTTTTCAGAATAGTTTTCTGTAAACTCTATTTGTGTTAAAGAGCCTAAGAAACTTATGGTCTATACAACGTGTTGTACGTGTTGTATATTTAATATGACAAGTAAAAGTATTGATTCCACTGTGTGATTCTGTATCGCTTTAAGACCTCAATGTGTGCCATATAGTAGCTTTAATTACAGAAACTTAAACAGTGTTGACAACGTTTTCACGCTCTGGGTGTAACACATCTCTCATGGCAAGTTATAAATCTTTCATTGGCAAAGGGATATTCGACAACTGGATCTTATTTTTATTTTTAAATACTCTCTCTTTCTCTCTCTCTCTCACTCATTCACTCACTCTCTTGCTATCTCTGCCTCTCTATTTAATCCATTATGTCTGTTAGCCCAGTGAACACATGAGATGCATTATCAGTTATTATAAGGAGTGTGCTTAAAAACCCTCGACTGCTAGGGCAGCGGCATGATCATAACATTATCCAAAAATAATTTCTGCATGTTATCATGTTAACATGTCTGTTGGGCAACATAATTTAGTACGAGACAAAAATACTAAGATGAGATCCCACCACAAACATTCCACACCTCAACCATCATGTTTGCAAATGCTGACAGTGATGAAAGAGAGTCAAATATGTGTGTAGTACACTATAAAGTTAACACATAGCAGGCAGACCATATGTATTCCTGGTGTCCAGACTGTCTGGTGTCAGTCAGATTATTACTACGAACACACACTGACGCCAAAGTCAGTGTTGTCTGTCATGGATCCATATTAAGGTCTATGTCTCCATTTGATACACAAGAAACATGTTTAAAATAGAATATCTTCTATATTCACTTCTCTAATTAAATATAACCTGTGCTAGTCATAGAAAATCTAGGTAAAAATACACAGTCACTAAACAGATTAGTCACTTTAGCATGCAGTATTAGTTGTTAAACAGCACTGTATACACAGAGTACGCTAACAAATTAGCATGCTAATTCTTCTTTAAAATGCTTACTTGTAGCTATTCATGTGCATTTTTGAGATTACTAAGAAAAGTTTGAAATGTTTTACAGGTGAAAAGTGTCCTTGTTGAGAACACAGATCAGTGGAGATCTTCATCATGAATACAGGTAAGCCTGTTAGCTGCTAGCACAACAAAGTTATTTACTGAATTTTCTAACATATTTGAAGGACATAAAATAACATTTGATTACCAAATCTGACAAAAAAAAAAGGATTAACACATATGATTCTGGTTGAACCAAATGCACTGCATTGCTTCAACATATACATATCTGGTCAGAATTAATAGCCAACCTTTGAATTTTGGATTTTTTTATCTCTCTTTTAAAAATTTCCCAAATGATGTTTAACAGAGCAAGGAAATTTTCACAGTATGTCTGATAATATTTTTTTCTTCTGGAAAAAGTCTTATTTGTTTTATTTCGGCTAGAATAAAAGCAGTTTAAAATTTTTATAAAACTATTTAAGGTCAAAATGATTGGCCCCGTTTAAGCTATATTTTTTCGATAGTCTACAGAACAAACTATTATGTTTAGAAATGTGTTGGAAAAAATAGTGAAGATAGATAGAAGTTTTTTTGATCAAAACTGTACACATTTTTTATTAGTTTTTATCTAGCGTTAGGCAAAGAACTGCATGAAAATAACTATTTATTCATTAATAATACAGTGTGTCTTCGTAAATATCATAAGTGTGGAAATGAACAAAAGTTGTTAGCACCATACTGCCCAATACTGTTGATTTTTACCTAGAAATTGCAGTCAAACACAGGTACAGTTTCACAAAATTGCAGGCCAAGGCATGAAGGGCCTAACAGTCTTGCCTTTCGGTGGAACTGTTTAACTCCTCTGTTAAACAGAAATTGGGGGAAAAAATAAGCGGAGCTAATAATTCAGTGGGGGATGATAATTCTGACTTCAACTATATACTGACAACTAATACTGCTTATTTTGAAAAATACATTTTTTTTAGTTCAAAATCCTGCTTTTCTTCACTACATTAATTATTAAATATGTTCTGATCATCCAAAATTGCATGAGTACAGTAGGAACTTAATTTGAATTACTTCAACATTTTGTGACCGCCAAATTGTACCAGATGTACTCCATTTGCATTATTTAACTATCATAATCATATGCGTCACTTTACCAATCACAAATCCTCTCCCAAGGCCTTGTGGGATAGTAAAGTGTCCAATGGAAGCACACTTCTTAATCTCAAAAGAAGTAGTAAGTCATTCAGGTGCTTTCTTTTGCATATTATTATAACAGTTTTGGATCCAGAGGGTATTATTGTAACATTTTGATATTTCCACATTGCTTTGCTAAATCATTTACTGCTCAACTTGTAATGGCTAAAATAGTGCTATTCAAAAGTTTGTAGTCAGTAAGATGTGTATGTTTTTAACGTCTCTTGTGCTTTTTTATTATCAAAATTACAATAAAAACAGTATAACTGTGAAATATTACTAGTAGTGGTTGTGATATATATATATGTGATATATATTTTATTAAATGTAATGTATTTTAACAGTAATTACTTCAGTTTCTAGTGTCACATTAGGATATTAAGTTCTGTGTCTTCATTTTGTACAAGAAAAATGTTTAAAATGGAATATCCTCTATGATTGCCACTCTAATTACATATAACCTGTGCTAGTCGCAGAACATCTTGGTAAAAATACACAGTCGCTAAACAGGATTAGTCACTTGAGCATGCGGTATTAGCTGTTAAACAGCAGTGGATACAATTATTATTAGTTGTAGCTTTCAAATGTGACATATTTTAATAAATGTAATGTATTTCAACAGCAATTACTTCAGTTTCTAGTGTCACATTCAGAAATTATTCTTTATTACCTCGAACTGGCACTTAATGTTTTCATTATCATAATTTATTTTTGACAACATTATTTATAGCTAAACTGTCAATTATTTTACTTAAACTGACACCAAACTTTTGATCAGTGCTGTACATATTTTCATTATTTGATTTTTTCGCAATGCCTGTTTGTGCAATAATGTTGCCTTTACAATGCATGTGCTTTGCTTTCTGATTGTTTTGCATGTGTGCTGCTGTGTGCGGGCTTGTGTGTGTGTGTGTGTGTGCAATCGAAGATACTCCAGATAGCGGAGGATGTGCTCATAAAAGAGCATCCCTGTCACTCACTCTGTGGCCTGTGAAGAGGGTCCAGAGCACCCCCAACCTGTACACTGCTGCAGGTATCAGGCATGGAGCCAACAAACACTGATCTTTTGAATCTATTCACTTATCAGTGTTTCCTTCTTCCCAGTGCTGTTTATGTGCACAATTGACATGTGGACATGTTTTGTCCAAGATTCATATTTTTTGGTCAATGAATAGTTCTTCCCTAAAATGTATATTCTGTCATTATGCATTCTGTTGTCCTTTTCCTTGTCATTTTTTCCATGTTGTCTCCTTATCCCTGTCTTACTTTTAGTGGATATGTTGTTTTATCAAATAAATGTATAAAGATATACAAGAACAGAAAGATTGGATACAGATTTAAAAACAGCATAAATAAATTAAATAAATCCATTAAATTACATCCATTAATCCATTAAATTAAGTTATAACAATAGCCAATACAAAGTTAATGTAAGTCATCATGTGCCTTAATGCATTTATAATATAAAAATGCAGCAATTAATGATTAAGGCTAACTAAATCTAAATGCTAAAACTATAAATTGGTAATTTATAAGCATTTTTCTTGCTTAAAATAAGCAAATTGTTTTAATAGACTTACCATTAAGGTGATGAAAGTTATTTTGGTTACTTAATAAATAACAATATAAAGGTTATGATATATATATATATATATATATATATATAATGCAAACATTTTTTATTATTAATTAAATTGAAATCAATACAAAAAAAAGTTCAATGCAAAATGTCAAACTGTCTGTAAAATAAAAATCTATCTAAAAATTATTTTTTGTTGATTTCTAATTGCTTACCAGCCCACAAAGAGAATTTGACACTAGATATAGATTGCAGCTCTGCACAAGACATCTGGCCATAGAAGAAATGGTCGTGCCCAACTGAGCCTGGTTTCTCTCAAGATTTTTTTAATTCTTCACTTTCGCCAACACACTGAACTGAGCTACACTGCATATGTTTTACGCAGCGGATGCCCTTCCAGCTGCAACCCATTTCTGGGAAACACCTATACACACTCAATCACACACATACACTAGGCCAATTTTAGCTTACCAAATTCACCTGTACTGCATGTATTTGGACTTATATGTGGACCGAACACGGGGAGAGCATGCAAACTCCACACAGAAATGCCAACTGACCCAGCTGAGGCTCGAACCAGTGACCTTCTTATTGTGAGGCAATTGTATATGTCACCGACACCGACATTGGGATGAAATGTTAAATTTCACATTTTTGAAAAAGAAATTAATATTAAAAAATGTATATAATAAATGTGAAATATATTTATTTGTTTACATATAGTCAGTGAAACACTTTAGTGTTTATTAAACTCATTTGGTCATCTTCTGTTTCTTTTAAAGTCTTTAAATTTAATATTAAGCCTTGAAGGGCAAATACTTAATTTAATTCATGGGGCATATAATTCAATAAATATAATTCAATAATTCATATAAAACATAAAATTTAATAAATATTAACATATTAATTAGATCAAATTAACAGCTGCACTAGAAAAAAAATATTTAACTCAGCCTTGTATGCTTAATTTGAACAAGAACAAATATTCATCCTAAAACATGAAATAAATGTTATAGAAAGCAAAAAGTTCACTTTCTTAAGCATCAGCATATTGTTACAACACCAACTTATATATTTTGTGATTGTATTTCTTGAAAAGTAATACTTCAATGAATTATATGGAAGATTGAACCTTATAATTCCAAGTGGAAAATGACTTTTCAGAATGAGAAGGTTCTATCTGCATTTATCATGGTTTTTTACTCAATTTTGCAAATGTAAGAGAACTTTGATAATTTACATTTAAAGAACCCTTAGGGTCTTTGTCATGATAATGTATGAAAGAGAACTGTTTCACACATGTTGTTTGCTATATGGAATGCAAAAACTGTGAAGCTCAATATCTCAAAATCATTCAGAATGCAGATAGAACCTTATAATTCTAAAGTGAGGGTATGTTTTTTTTTTGTTTTTTTTTCTGAACATAGCTTGTCCTGTTACGGTTTTCCTATTGAATATAATCTACAATAAGTGGCCTTCTAACTTGCAATTAAGCTATTAATTAATCAGTCAATCAATCAATCAAAGTAAAGCTCGGTATGTATTCAGCTGTACTAATAGACACTGTTTGGGTTTTAATCAACAGAACCCTTAAACGCTTTACACTTTCAATCAACATGTAATAGTATACCATGTAGAGCATCTGTATTTCAATGCTATACTAAGACCCCAACATTTTTACTTTTATATTCTGCTTGAGTGAGTTTGTTGAAAAAGTGACATGCTGTCAGGACCTGCCAAAGATACAACAACGCAGCTGTACATAAAGGAAAACTGCTGTCCACACAAAAGCAGTCAAGCACGTATTCGCAGATGCACTGCTGTGCTCGCTTTGTGTTGAATTGTTTAAGGCACAGGCGTGTTTGATTGAAATAAAATGGATATCAGTTTAAATAGCACAACTGAGACGATCCCATTCACTTTCACTTGAAATCTCTGTCATTCTTTTGAAATAGAACAGCATAGGACTAGAATTAAATTGTAAAACTAAACTCATATTAAAGCTTTTTTTATGTCCAAGTTTATGTAATGTTGTATTTTTTATAATCAGCATTATGGAGTAGGTAACTAGTTATGTAACTTTGTGTGGTCTTACTAGCTCTCTCTCTGTTGTGTTCAGTACAGACTCTGCTCTTTAATCTTCTGTTCTCTGTAATTCTGCATCTCTCTTTTTAATTCCCATACTGTGGCCATTCATCTCTCTAGTTATATGTTTTCCAACCATTTTCAATGGGGCATCAATGGCAGGATGGCAGCAAAAAATAGTCAAATCTAAGGATTAACAACAACAAAAAGAGTAAAGAATTAAAGAGTAAAGTACTTTCAAATAAAAGTGTATTAAAATGTATTAAAAACTAGGCTATGTTCCTCCTTAATTTGACTCTGCACAATTTTGTTTATGATTTGTTCACATATTCACCCACTTTGGATGTTATGACTTGATTGAATAAGTGGTATCAGTGGATATCAGCTTATAGATATGGGCCAGTAGGAGCCTTCTACGCCTACTAGTAGGCTCAGAAGGCAGCTATCATCCATCCACACGGTTAATAAGCTATACTAATAGAGAAGACTCCATGATCTGTTTTTACTTTACTGTGACAGTTGGGGTGAGGTAGACGTTAACAAAATTGGTTAAATAATATAAATAATACTTGTTAACTTCTGGCTGCAACCGTATGTGATTTATAGCTGATTAACCATGTGCGGCGCAGAAGGCCCCTACAGGCACATATCTATCAGCTGATAACCACTGATAACACCCATTAAATCGTGTGATAACATTATATATGTATATATATATATATATATTCACAAATACAGTGTTTTCACATATTTGTTGTGGTTTTCTGTGGTCAGTAGTGTTCTCATAAATCATAAATGCAGTTTTTGGTAGCTTCTTTGTGTAATATTTTAAAATACTATGGTTATGTTTATACAGTACATCTTTATTTTCTACAGGTAGTGATTCCCAGTCGTCAGATTCAGGCAAGTAATTGTTTAAAAATGTCTCTGATTTCATCACTTTTATATGAATATCCATACAAACAATGGCCAATCATTTGTACAATTAAGCGTTTGGAAACCTAAAATGATGATGATGATGATGATGATGATGATGATGATGATGATGATGATGATGATGATGATGATAATAATAATAATAATTTAATATGTTTTAATAATTTTTATTTTTTTTTTGCATGTGTGTATGTATGAGCAGATGCCTGGCGTTCACGGAGTGTCTCCGAGGGATTGAGAAATGGAGATGCCGGCAGCTCATCCTTGACCTCAAAAGGCTTTCGCAGTGTTAAACCCAACCTGCAGGACAAGAAATCTCCCACACCAGTACATATTTATTTATAATACATTTTTATTTAGTTATGGGCTGTTGCTAAATCACTTGCTTGATCACACTGCCATTATAGTATATGTTGTACCATTTTCATTTTTCACAACAGGTTATCCTCTGCCTCTTTTTTATTTTTTTAAAGTTACTTTGAATTTGTTCTGTTTTTTTCTACTTTAAAGCTAGTTTAAAGGGTGTTTAGAAATGGGATCTTATTAACTAAATATATTATGGGATAGTTCTCCTAAAAATGACAACTCCTTTACTCTCCCTCCACTTGTTCCAATTTTATTTTTTTTCTGTTTATGTTGAACACAAAATAAGAAATTTTGAAGAATGATGGAAGCAGTTTACTTCTATAGTATTTTGTTTTACTATTGATGTCTACTGTGGTGTGCCAATTTCCTATTTCTGCACAATATTGTATTTTGTGTTCAATAGAATAAAGATACTCCTAAAGGTCTGCAAGGCTCCTAAGCATCATGGAATTTTTAAAATATTATGATATTTTAAACAGTATATTTCAGACATTAAAAGTCAAGGAAATATTTTATGTAGTTATTATTTTTTGGTCCAAATCAAGAAATATCAGTGTTTTTTGTTTGCCATTTTAGGTTTTAGTTTAATTTCATCAAAATATAATTGTTTATAGATATACATTATATATCATGCTGTTTTATGGCTATATGGTTAATTTACTTTTAACAGCTCCATTTTAGCCTATTTCCACTAAGTTGTATGGTAAGGTGGGCTTTTTTGCCCATTTCCACAGTGAAAAAACAACCATACCATATCATTTTGGGCACCCTTTCCAAAAGGTAGCTAGCACAACAGAACGGTACCAAAAGGGTGGAGCTAAATATGCAGCTGAATGCTATTGGTTTACAGAGAATCGTCATTAGCACATGCAACAAGCCAGGAGAATAAAAACACAGGTATGACACTGTAATAATACATACTGTATACCTGATCTCAAACTAATCTTGTTGTCTTCTTGTGACAAACAGCCACATAGATAATCAAAATTTTAAGAACTTTGGCTTCAAAATGACCACTTGACTGGGTCTAAGACTGCATGCCAGATTAAAATGTACTTTAGATCAGTGTTTCTCAACCATGTTCCTGGAGGACCACCAGCTCTGCACATTTTCATGTCTTCTTAACCAAACACACCTGATTCAGATCATCAGCTCATTAGCAGAGACTAAAAGACCTGTAATGGGTGTGACAGACAAAGAAGACAACCAAAACATGCAGTGTTGGTGGTCCTCCAGTAACGTGGTTGAGAAACACTGCTGTAGATGATAGAAAAGACAGTTTGTACATTTTGTAAAGCTACTTTTTTGTTTATTTTTTCTAAATATGTCATAGATTATCAATTGGTGTTTAAAAAGTTTATTAGTTATTTAGTTAGTTAGTTTAGTTAGATTAATTAATCGTAAAGCATCCAAACATAAAATAGAGACACAAAATTTTTGTTGCATCATGCATAATGATATTCCATGATAATATATATTTTTATTATTAAAATATACTTTTAAAATTATATTGTTAATATATAAGCAGCAGTGAACTGTTTTTCCATCTATTAGATGTCATGAAAAATCAGGTTTTTACTCAGTGAAAGTCTGTAAGTATTTGGGAACCCTGTGTTTGGAATCAGTTCATGATGATATGGTGATAAAGGATATGGGGGCATTTTTGGGTGAACTATCCTTTAAACCTCTGATTCAATGTACTCTGAACTGGTTTTGTATATATTTAAATGACCTTTTCTCCATCAGGTCCCCTTGCCTCCCCCTCGGAGAGAGAGCTATCACATGACCCCTAACCCTCCATCTTACAGTTCGCTCGCAATGCTGTCAAACGCCACATTCTCTCCCTCACAGAGTCATGATGCCATTTCCACAGGCTCTTACTCCATTCAGTCTAGTGCCACCTCCTCATACTCATACTCCAAGACCACCCGAACCTCCACTAACACCTCTGGAGCCCCTCTCGAGGAGTCCCCCTCCTCCCAGCAAGCTAATGCTAACAGTTTTATCTCTCGGGTCCTTGGAAGCAAATTGTCTTCCTCTAAATTTGCAACTGACCAACTAAATGCAGCACCTGTGACAAATATGATTACAACTGACCCTAAGACTAAAACTAAGCCAAAAGGAGCATTCACACCCTCACCGCTAGACCCCGCTAGCACTTCTGATTCACACATAGCCTCTCTCTCCATCCAGTTAGCTCCTCGCAGCCCCGAGCCCCGAGCAGAGAGCCGGTCTGAACCCAGGACAAATGCGGTGGACATCACTGACTCTACACGACCCCCTGTCATACCACCAAGACCAGCAGGCAGTTTGGTGGTATTACTGTCATTCATTTATAGTTATAATGTACACTTATACTATCAGTTAAAGGTTTAGAGTTATTACATTTTAGAATGAAGCCTCTAATGATCAACTAAAACTGCATTTGTTTAAGAATGAAGTAAAACAATTATTGAATATTGTTTGAATTTCTTTTATAACATATTTTCAAATTCCTGTGAGGCTAAAGCTGAATTTTTAGCATCATTATTACTCCAGTTTTTAGTGTCAAATAATCTTTTAGAGTATGCTGGTTTGGTGCTCACTTATTATAGGATAAATTTTCAGCATTTTCACTTTTTCAGCTTTTTAGTCTGTCGCTCAACCAAAGGTAACATGGCCAGCCATTTGGTAACATTTTAATGATAAAGGCAAGAAACAAAACTCAATTTTGACAATTTCTAATTGCTTGTTTCAATACAATGCGAATGCACGCTATGAAACAATTGTTCATTTTGAATGGTCATTGCTGTTTGTTTAATTTTTGCAATGTTCAAAGCACATTATCTTCTGAACATGGTTGAACAAATTGAAAAATTAGGTTAAATTGTTAAATTGTCCTTTAAATTAAAAAAAAAAAAAGCTTGCCAAAGTGTAATTAAGGCATTATAACCACAATGTTTTGGCTTGTTTAGACAAAGAGCATTTGGAAGAGCGCCATCTAGTGGTCAGGAGATACAAAAAATGAGTCTTTTGGCTTAAAAATTCAGAAAGGATTTGCCAAATCACAAGACTAGTCACTTTAGATTTATAGCAGCACACCAAGTCAATTCACACCTGATTCCCCATATCAGTTATTTTGTGCATTAAACAGTTTGAATTTTGTTTGCATGGTTATGAAACTTGGTATACAGTTAAAGTCAGAATTATTAAACCCCCTGAATTATTAGCCCCCCTGTTTATTTTTTCCCCAATTTATGTTTAACGGAGAGAAGATTTTTCAACACATTTCTAAACATAATAGTTTTAATAACTCATTTCTATTAACTGATTTATTTTATCTTTGCCATGATGACAGTAAATAATATTTGACTATTTATTTTTCAAGACACTTTTGTACAGCTTAAAGTGACATTTAATGTCTTAACAATGTTAATTAGGTTAAATAGGCAGAATAGGGTAATTAGGAAAGTTGATGTATAATGATGGTTTGTTCTGTAGACTATTGAAAAAAAAATATCGCTTAAATGGGCTGATAATTTTGACCTTAAAATGTTTTTAAAAAAATTAAAAACTGATTTTATTCTAGCCAAAAAAAAAAAAAAAAACAACAACTAAGACTTTCTCCAGAAGAAAAAAATATATATCAGAAATACTTTGAAAATGTCCTTGCTCTGTTAAACATCATTTGGGAAATATTTAAAAAAGAAAAAAATCAAGGGGGGTTTAATAATTATGATTAGAGAGATTAAAAGATCTGATTAAAAGATTTCTTTTGGTAAAAAATTATCAAGCGATTTTTCAGATTTCATGTAAATAGACCAAATTTATTTAACATATTAATGACTTTGATGGCAAGCTGCCAAACTACATCTGAGACTATATCCCTTTAAAGCTGTTATATATCGACCCCAAATTTTTAGTGCGCCATCAATGCATCACATGTATCAAACCACATTAGTAGTGATTGTTTTTATGATTATCATTATTATTTTAAGTTTGACTAAAATCTTATTTTGGCATCACGGTGGCACAGTGGGTAGCACGATCGCCTCACAGCAAGATGGTCGCCTGTTCGAGTCCTGACTGAGTGGGCATTTCTGTGTGGAGTTTGCTTGTTCTCCCTCTGCTTGCATGGGTTTACACTGGGTGCTCCGGTTTTCCCCATAGTCCAAAGACATGTGCTGTAGGTGAATTGAATAAGCTAAATTGTCTATAGTGTAGGTGTGTGATTGTAAGATTGTATGGCTGTTTCCTAGTGTTAAGTTGCAGCTGGAAGGGCATCCGCTGTGTAAGACATATGCTGTCAGTTAGCGTGGCGACCCCAGATTACTAAATGGATTAAGCCAAAAGAAAATAAATGAATGAAAAAAAATATTTTAATTGCTTGTTGCAATTGATCACATCATTTGCTATAGATTATATAGTTTTTGACCTCCAAAAATTTTCTGCTCAAGTTAAATTTTTTTCTTGTCTGAAAGACGTACGTTTTCAGGGAAAGTCACCTGTATTTGTGTGTTTGTGTTTACTTAGTCATGCAAATACTTAAAGGTGCTGTATGTAGAGTTTTGATTTGTCTAAAGCAAAAAGTGTTTTGAACCTGAAGTGCAATACCTAGTTCAACCACTGGGTGTCAAACTTACATACTGCACCTTTAATTCCCTATTTGAACCCTGAATTATGTCCACATTCTTCCTCTGGCATACTGGGATTCAGAATTGTTGCGTGCATCTATAGTGTGTTTTGAAGTTGAAAGTGTGATTTTGGCCAAAAATTGTCTACAGCAAAACTTATTTGGAGCATTAATTACAATAAAATTTTGCGAGCACCAAACCAGGATTCTTACAATAGCACACAAACCTGTATTCAATAACATTCAAACTTTTGACTGGTAGTGTAAACAAACTAAGTGTAAAAAACACCCATTCACCTCCATCCGATGGGACAGAGTGAAAAACACACAGCATGATGAAAAGCCCTATGTGTTGACTGCTAACAACTAATTTTGCCATTTTTACAGCCAAGTATCTATTATTTTTTCCCAACAGATTGTTCTGTCCTTCATTCAACATGGTTCAATTTGCCTGCGTCACTTCTTGCTCACCAGCTTTGCTTTGTTCACGTTAATTTCTTATCTTCCTTCCCTTTTTATTTCCTCCCATCCGCCTCCATCAGCGTGAGTTTTTCCCTGTAAGAGGGGGCCCAGGACCGATTTCTTCTGGACCATCATCCCCAGACCCAGCAGCTCGTCGATCACCATATAGCCGGGCCAGTCAGGATTCCCCAGACTTCCTATCAGGGCTACTACCCAAAGCCCTCTCGCCGACTCCCTATGCCCCTCTGGAACGTTCGGGACTAATGTCGGCCTCACCTGCCGTGTCACCAGTAACCGTATCAGCACTGAGTCAATATTCCTCATCCACGGCTGGGCTGGAGGAGTTGCAGATATGTGGCCTAGACTCCTCCCCCTTGGCCACACCCACTCCGTCCCCCACACTCAGCCACACCTCCAATGCTGCTGATGAGCTTCAAGCCATCCCGTCTGCTGCCACAGGCACTAACGTAACTATCACGCTCGACTGGCGCACTTCACCTCAGTCTATGGTCATGTTTGTTTCAAGCTACTTGTTGTATGTCCTCACTTGTCTTTCAGCGCTGATTGTCTAACATTTTGTCATGTGCTTTAATGTGTCAGGCTGTTATGTCTTGTGTTTTACACTTGGTTTTCGGTTTTATGTGTTTAAATATTCATTGCGTGCTATGTATGTTGTTTTAAAGGGGACTATTGAAAGGGGACCTTTTATGCCCCTTTTTAAAAGATGTAAAATAAGTCTCTGATGTCCCAAGTGTGTATGTAAAAAACCAAAATACCCAACAAATAATTTTTTAGAACAGCTGACATCTACCCGCATTTGGCTGGCTGGCAGGTGTTAATGTCAAGCCCTGTTCATACATATACATTTAATACATTGAAGTAAATTAAACGTTTGGTGTTTTTCAATACCTCAAATAGCTGTTTTTCAAACTGTTTTTTTTTTTATATATATATATTTTAAACTTTTCTAGACTAGCAGTGCTTAATTTCTGGCATTATTATTCTTCAGCATCCCATTTCAAAAATCATTCTAATATCTTGATTTCTAGGTCAAAAAACATATTTTTATTAATAATATAGAAAACTGTTGTGCTGCTGAATATTTTGTCTGGAGTCACAGAGTTATTTTTAAGGTTTTTTGATTAATAGAAAGTGTGGATTTTTTTTTTTAATCAAAATAAGCTATTAATATAATTACAATTACTTTTTATCAGTTTAATGTATAAAACTTTTAATAAAAGATTTATTTATTTGTTTATTTTTATTTTTAATAATATGTAATGTATAATTAATGATAAATTGTCCAGGAAAGGGAATAAAACAGGGGAATTTTGATTTAGTTATTAAATGGGTTCCTATGATGACCTCTGTTTTTACATGACCTATCGTGATGATTGTATAATGTTACCAAAATTTGCGTCTTTAATTTGCCATACATGACCTTTTGTGATGATTGTTTAATTAATATTAACATAATTTGAATCTTTAATTTGCCACTGCTAACTGAAGACATGTGTAATATGAACGTATAACTGAAGCTTAATCCAGTGTTAACATTCCTATTAGTAGATTGTCCTGCACTCATTAACTACTAAAGTTTCTTTGAATAGTTGCTGTGCATTAACAGTTTTCAGTCATCTCTTTATTTTGTGTCTGTTAGTTGTTCTCTTATGTTATTACAGAAGCATCAACATCTGATCCCAAACTTTGTCTTTTTTGTCTCAGCATTTTCCTCAGTAATGACACCTCTGAGATGCATTTGTGCTACAATATCTGTGATATTTTTCAATTTGTGTCTCCTAATGTGTGCCCTCATGTCTTACATTTTCTCATTCTACCTTCTTATCGTCTCATAGATTTCACCCACTCATATTTGTTTGTCTTACAGTGACTTTACAGATTACATTACCCACAGTTCCATCTCTTATAAAGTGTTTTGTATGTTACCCAGGGTCAAATGACAGTGAATGGAAGCTCTCAGTCTCAGAGGCCCTTCTCTCCACCTGCACACCCTCCTCCTTCACCACCACCAATCCTCAGCCCAGGCCTGGTACAGATCCAGCATGGGCATAGTTCTGGTGAGCAGAATGAACTACAAATGCCTTTGGCTTTAGTATTTGAGTATTAGCATAACATTAACCCTACTGATGTCTTTATTATTCTGCATACACTGAAAAAAAACCTGTTCATTAATAGTTCACAAGTAATTCACAAGTGTTTTCTGTTTATTTACGGTTGTGAATTGCATTATGGGATATTTATCTGTTTTCTGTCAACTTTTAATGTTGAATGTTATTATATATATATATATATATATATATATATATATATATATATATATATATATATATATATATATATATATATATATATATATATATATATATATATATATATATATATATATATGTATACATTATCTTTGCCATGATGACAGTAAGTAATAATTTATTAGATGTTTTTCAAGACACTTCACTACAGCTCAAAGTGAAGCTTTAAAGCTTTTAAGGCTTAACTAGTTTAATTAGGTTAAAAAGGCAAGTTAGGGTAATTAGGCAAGTTATCGTATAACGATGGTTTGTTCTGAAGATAACGAAAAAAATATATATAGCTTAAAGGGGCTAATAATATTGACCTTTAAATTGAATTTAAAAAAATTAAAAACTGCTTTTATTCTAGCTGAAATAAAACAAATAAGCCTTTACCCAGAAGAAAAAAATATTATCAGACATACTGTGAAAATGTCCTTTCTCTGTTAAATATAATTTGGGAAATATAAAAAAAAAATAATCAATCAATAAATCAAAGGGGGTGGATGTAATACACAAAAGTGAAGGGTGAAGAGGCATTTGTGTGATGTTACTTGCAAAATGCAAAATATTGCACGGCAATTTATATATATATATATATATATGAATAATTCTGACTTTAACTGTAATTGTTTTGTTTTGTGTTTTGTGTGTTTTTTTACTGTAATTTGCCATAAGTCATAAATAAAACTATACAACTGTGCTCAGTTGGGTTTACCTGAGTAAATTTATACACCTCTTTGCCATAAAAGTCCTGGTGCACACAAACTAGCAGACTAGCAGAAAGAAATGGTTATCAACCCAGTTTTAAATGAACTCTCGTATACAGTTCCACTGAATTATGAGTAACAGGTAGAAGACATTAAATGAATCAAAAACAGACCATGATGCCAAATGACACAACCATGAAAAGGACATAAAAGCTTACTATGGTCTTCAAAAGCTTACTATGGTCTTCGAAAATATATCTCCTTGCAGCAGATCTTTCTTTGTAAGTGTGATGGAGGGATTTCGGGGGAACGTTTGACTTCTTTTTTTATAAATTAATGTATGACAAATTCTTTCTTCTTAATCAGATATTACCACATACTGTACAATAAGTGTGTTTAACCCAGCATATTTTTGATGTTCTGTTTTAAAATATATAAAATACATGAAAGATGCATGTGTCTGTCTTTAGGTTCAGTCTTTAAAAAGTATGAATTTTACATGAACAAGATCTAAATGTGAACACGTTTAAATGTGCAGTGCATTACAGAATTTATTTTATTTCATGCACTCTTAAAATTAAAATTCTTAAGCCCAACATTTTATTAAACATTTTATTAAAAACAATTATGAATAAATCTCAGTGGTTAAGTAGAATTTTATATGATAAAACATAAAACATAATTAAAAATCACAATTTGTACTCACTTAATTATATTATATTATATTATATTATATTATATTATATTATATTATATTTTATTTTATTTTATTTTATTTTATTTTATTTTATTTTATTTTATTTTATTTTATTTTATTTTATTTTATTATTCATTTTCAACTTAGTCCTTTTTTTTATCAGGGGTCATCACAGCAAAATGAACCGCCAACTAATTTGACATTTGAGTTATTACTACGCCCACAAGGAATCTGCGCGCACAGAATTCCGCAGATTTTCCACAGATTTCCGCAGATTTTTAGCCCATCATTAATTGTGTTTATTTACTTGAGTAAATGTGTTTAAATCTACAGGTATTGAGTTTTTAAATTAACTACAGTAATCTTATTGACTAATATAAAAATATTCATCTGATTTATCTACAATGCAGTTTGTACAGTAATATGTTCTGTCTTTTAGTAGATATATATTATATAAGAGATTACCAAATAATGTGAATCTAATTGGATTTGCATTTTAAACTAACTAAAAGTTAAAAAGATATTATTTTTTTATTTCACATATTAGGGTCTTAGTTATGATACTCCCAAAATAATTTCACAGAAATCCGCAGATATTTACCAAAATTCTCTGCAGAAATAGCAAAAAATGTCAGCAAATTCCGTCTGGCCCTAGTTATTACCTATATCTCTAAACAAAGACTTCCTAAATTGTCTTTTTGTGCTTCTGCTGATTCATTCCAATTTTTGATGCTCTAAAACAACGATTTTTCTTGTTAGTGGACATCGGGCAATTATTGGCAATTAACGGTGCAGTTTGGTCCTCAGGATATGAATCATTTGCATCCATTAGGCCAGACCAGAGCAATCAATACCTGAACAGAGGGAAACTGAGGGGAGGCAAAGCTCTGACACTTTAGTGCAGATTTGCTTAGCAAGGCACATTTATACAGTTGTTGTAGTAGTTCAGTTTAAAGAAATATGCTGACAAATAGTGTGCTGTAGCATTTCCTCCCATCACTGCCTTTTTACAACCGCAAACCTGTACAAATGTGGGGATATAAATGTAGCTGTCTCATTTATGCCACATCATACTAATGTCATATACTTCATGATGCTTAGTCAGGGTTGGAGATTGTGCCATGTCAGTTTCCTGCTCGCTTAGATTAAATTGGACTGTCAAGTTGCCAGTTGTGTCACTATTTACCTATTTTGTAATTTAAGATAAATCGCAGACAAAACAAATATATTTCTTTCTTCGAAGACATTCTTTGCTATAATAGTGTGAAATGCTTGTGAACAGGCAGGTAATTGCCTTTATGATAAATTTTAGCATCTGACAAAGTCTAGACAGTAAGAGATTCTGCATAGTGTGACTGTATCTATGGCAGCAGTCAACTGAAGAGCCAATAGCAGCACAGCAGTCATTGATGATGTGTTTGTGAGAGAGCCATTCTGTTTAAAAGGTTCATTCTAGCTTGTCACACTGTTACTGAGGATCTCAGTGGGGTCATATGCGATACAGTTTGATACTTTTTAAAGGACAGAACAACATTGCAGTGCAGTTTACTCTTTTGTTTTAATTTTTTATCTATCTCTAAACTAGCTCTCTATCTTGCAGAGGGTTCACAGACACTGAGGAGAGAGACTGTTGTCTCTGGTCAGACAGTGGTCAGTAGCTCCGTGCCCATCGCTCGCTTCTCAGAGGAAGAGAAGAAGGTCTCTGTCATAAAAGCTCCCCATTACGAAGGCATTGGACCAGTGGATGAGTCTGGCATTCCCATCGCCATCCGTACGGTGAGTATACTAGCATGTATGAGGGAACTAACATAAATGACTGATTTAATTCGATTATGATTGATGGAGTTTGCTTTAAAAGAAAATACAATTTCAGTGATTAATATTTATGTGTGCTATTTGTGAGATTTATTGTCAGTATTTGAGTGAAAATGGTCACATTTTAAATCCTACAACAATTGTTGGTAACATTTGTATTTAAGGTGTCCTTGTTACAGATTTTAAATGTACTTACTATAGTAGTTAAAAATATATATGCATAATTACATGCAACTAACCCTTAACATATAATCCGCAATCTAACCCTAACCGTATAGTAAGTATATGTAATGAATTAGTAGTATCTTAGTTGTTAAATTAATTGTCAAACTGTAACAAGAACATCTAAAATAATGTAATAATTAAATCAACTTAACAGTTTTATATAGGCTACTGCATTCTGTACAAATAGTTGATCATTCATCATGATAATTTATCATGCAACTTGAGTAAAATCTTTGCTCACATGATAATTTTTGAAAGTATATACTGGCTGATTTTGTCTTTTGATTGATGTAAGTAGTTTGTCCATGCTAAACTACTGCAGCATGAAATATATCATTTGTATTATTAACTCAGTTCATTCTGAGTTTGTTTTAATTTAATTAATTTAGGAAAGGGGTAAAACTGAGTTTGAGGTTATTCTGGGTACTCACAAATGGACTTATAACAATACAGGCTTTATTCTTACATCTTCATACTAAATCAAGAACTGCTTTAAACACATTGACTTTGTAACACATACTAAATGAGATCTGTCAAATAGCAAATCTTCTATAGCATTATCTTTGATAGGACAATTGTAGTGATTATTCACTGTATAATCTTGCTAATTTGCTTTGTTTTTGTACTACTTTACATAAAGAAAGACTGTATGTAAGTCAAAGTGTGTTTCCTTTCAATGATCCTGTCTCAAGTATATGAATAATATTATTTTGTGAAGTAAAAGTGTATATTTTTTGACTGCTTACAAAAAAAGTTAGCCTGACATTTTGTGTTATTATGTCTTTTGTTCAGGCTATCAGCATTTGTGACCCTGAACCAAAAAATCATATGAGTTAAAATGTTTGCAACTGACATTTAGTAGAGATGCAACTATTTATAAACTATTATAAATCTGGAATATGAGTTTTAAAACAAATGACTGGAAAAGTATTGATATATTTAATGTATGACCTTTTCAGTCTCTTAGTATCTTCTTGTCCTAAAATAATTCCAAACATTTGCAGTCACAGCTGAGCCACTGCGGATCTCAGTGAAACATGTTTGTTGATAAATGAATCAGCAATTCTGAATGATCCAGTGATCCACTTAATGATTAATAAAAAATGATTCAGCTTTTTTGAACAAATCAGATTAAATTTATATGCTCGTTTTAATTTTTTGATATACATTCGATATTGTTGTTAAAATAAATTACAAAAAATAAGAATGCGACATGAAAGAGCACACATTTAAGGTTCGGAAAATTGCTATTTGCATTCTTTGAACATTGCATTTTTTTTATTTTTTACTGCAAACAAATGCTGCATTTGGTTGTTTCAAAGCACTGGATCAATAACATATATATTTAACACCCCTCAAAAACCTGAAACCACATAGCACCCTATATGTATGACATTTGTTTTATGATGAAAACTTATTGATCTACAATACAGAAGTGCGCACATTTTTGCTATTGTTTTAGAACTTCCTATTCAGTTCCCTATGGGAGAAATGACTAGGAATAATAAAGGCAGAAAACAGCCAAACTACTTGCTCTACAGACAAAGCAGAATAATATAATAAAAAAGCATCAGTTTGCAACATCAAGCAGCAAAACAAGTTATTTTTAATTTCTAAAAATGAATGGAAGTGAATTAAACCAAACGTCTTGAGCCAAAAATATTAATACGTGAAGAATAAGGTTAATAGAACATTCAAAACAAGACTGTCTGAGATAAACTTGTATGAGATATTTTTGAATCACTGAAATAGAGAGTGTATGGCGCTTTATAGCACATCACTGCAGGAAAAGAAACCAAAAATGACTTGATATAATGTCCCGATGTCCATTTTCACAAAAATATGATTTTTATTACTTGTTGCCTTGTTTTAACTAGCTAGGATCAAAAAACTAAGCCAAACACTCATCGTCATGGTCATCCCATCTGTTGACTGTCATTGGTCAATTTAAAACAACTGATCAGCTGTCTGTCATCTGTTTTGGGGACATTTTCCTTGATTAGCATTTGAGCTGTTTTGACATTTGATCCTCTTATTGTGGCCACAGGAATGCTTTTCAGCAGGTCAGACTGTCTGTGAATGTGTGTTTGTGAGCAGAAGAGAACATTCCTGCCTCTTTCCTGGCAGGTTTCTGTGATACTCCCATTCTCTCTTTCACTCTCTCTCTCTCTCTCTCTGTGTTCTGGTGATTTTGTTGGTTGTCAGGTAATGACAAATGCTGTTAGCTTTTTGTGCACTTAACCAACAAACTGATAGGATTACTTGACTGTGTTTGTGATTCTATTTAGACTGTGGACAGGCCCAAGGACTGGTACAAGACCATGTTCAAACAGATCCACATGGTTCATAAGCCAGGTGTGTATACTGGTTACATATTGTTGTAGTCAGAATTTTTTATTTTTTTTATTGAATTGAATTTATATATATATATAAAAGGACATTTTTACAGTATGTCTGATAATATTTTTTCTTCTGGAGAAAGTCTTATTTGTTTTATTTTGGCTAGAAAAAAAAACATTTTTTAATTGTTTAAACACCATTTTAAGGTCAAAGTTATTAGCCCCTTTAAGCTATATATTTTTTCGATAGTCTATACAACAAACCATTGTTATACAATAACTTGCCTAATTACCCTATCCTACCTAGTTAACCTGATTAACCTAGTTAAGCCTTTGAATGTCACTTTAAGCTGTATAGAAGTGCATCTAGTTAAATATTATGTACTGTCATCACAGCAAAGGTTAAAAAAATCAGTTATTAGAAATGAGTTTTTAAAACTATTTTGTTTAGAAATGTGTTGAAAAAACTTTTCTGCATTAAGGAGAAATTGGGAAAAATATATACAGGGGGCTAATAATTTTGACTTCAACTGTAGAATGCATATTAAATCCAGCTATTAATTACATATTCTTTTGTCAGTTTTATGAGATTTTCAGTTTCTATCTAATGCTGTTTTCACCAGATGATGACTATGCAGACACATATAATGCAACATACGCAGTTATAAACAACGGTGAGTTCTTTCAAATAAAATAAATCCAATTTGAAATTTTCTGATGGCTTAAAACAAGAAAGGATGTTGTTCAATAGTTTTGAAATTGTGGGTTGATGTAAACAAATTGTCATTAAATATAAGTTAAACAAAGGGTATGTTATTTGGGAAATTAAAAAAATTGTCATAATATAGATTTAAAAATTGATAATGAAGTTATAGAAAGAGTTTATGGAATTAAGTTTTTTGGTGTTGTATTGCATCATAAAATTAGTTGGAAACAACAAATGTGATGTTAAAATTGGCAAAAACCTTATCAAAAGTGTATAAAGCAAGATAAATCTACCCATTAAATCAATGTATGTGTCACACAACACACTTATGTTGCCATATAATTCTTTATTTTTTAAATTGAAGATACTTAAGTTTAATGATTTGATTAAATTAAGTTAATAAATATGTTTAAAATGGCAGTTACAAATGGCATAAAATATAATGTGCAGCTCAGTTGTTGATATTCATAAGAAATCACCACATCAGCAAATTGTTATGATTTCTGCAAGATCATGTGACCCTAAAAATTCAGTTTTAATCACATATATATATATATATGTATGATCATAGAAATGTTGCCTGCTTGAGCTAATGAGACTTATTTTATTTTTCAACTTTATTTATAGAAATTTTAAAAAATGTACAAATATCACATATTTTAGAATATTATTGTACATTTTAACATAGAGAGAGAAGTAAACAAGAATCTAAATGATTGCGACAATTATTGACCTCCAGATGGAGTATTTATAGAAAACAATATATAAAACAGAAAATAAAAAATGAAGAAAAAAAACTAATAATAATAACAGTAATAATAATAATAATAATAATAATAATGTCGGTGCCAGTAGCCTAGTGGTTCTGCGCGCTGACATATAGCACCAATGTGCTCACAGCGACACATTCGATTCCTGGCTCAAGGTCCTTTGCTGATGACCCTTCTCTGCTCCTAATGCTTTCCTGTCTGAATTCTCTACTGTCCTGTCATAATAAAGGTGAAAAATCCCTGAAAATATATATACATAAAAAATAACAATAATAATAATCATCTTGTAACTAAAACAATTGTTTTTTACACCAAACTAAAACCCTGGTCATGATGTCACATTAGATGTCACACAGCAGAGAAGAATGTAAAAATAAAATGTCATCCAGTATGCAGGGAGCATGCATTTCCATATATTCAAGAAGAGAACCCCAAATTTATCAAAGTTTTTCGAAGAACCCTTTAGACAGTGTCTAATTTGTTCCAGTTTTTTAAAGTAAGAAACGTTATTAATCCACATGGAGTGAGTAGGTGGAGCAGATGACTTCCAATGTAGTAAAATACGACCTCTGGCCAGGAGAGACACAAAATAAAGAGACTCATTTTAAAAGATTTGATCCTAGTTTTAGATTTCAGAATAGTTGTGTACTGCTATATATTTGCTTGTTTTTTTTTCTGCAATGCCTAAATATAGCCATTAACTTAGTTTCATTACTCTGCGATATTAATATAATATTTGTGTCTCTTTCTCAGACAACTATCCTCCAGTTCATGCTCACCCACCTCCTCGAACGCACACGTACCGGCCGCTCTCTAGAAATACCTCAGACATTCCAGACAGTGCTGCCCAGCGAGAGCTCTCGCCATCACCCGTGCCCCCGCCGCCTCCTCCAATGCCTTCTCTCCTCCAGCTCCGCTCGCGGGACATGGACAGAGAAAAAGAGTTCTCCCATGACCCGTAAGACACCTAAACTCATGTCCTACAGGCTGCCCTCAGATCGGTTCTTATATTGGTCTCTTCTACAGAAACGAATGGGGTCCTCCAGAACGTAAAGTGGACACGCGTAAATATCGGGCAGAACCACGGAGCATCTTTGAGTATGAGCCTGGAAAATCCTCCATCCTCGAACAAGAAAGGCCTGTGAGTGATTCAATTTTATTAAATCAATTAATTAATTGATTGTCGTTTGCTAATATAATTTTATAATCCTTACTGTGCTTTAAAGTTCTAGAGAAATTTCCTTAAATTTAGGGAGCTTTTTCACTCTCATAAATTCAGACATACAGGGTCAGACTTCTACAAAGATTATAGGCCTGTCCTGGATTAAGTTGCTCATTCAGCAGACTTGCTTTTGGAAATAGTTTTTTAGCTCTATGTAAAGCCAAATTTGGCCATCAAAACTGTTGAAAGTTTCAAAGAAGTAGCTCATCCAGAAATGAACATTCAGCCTTTATTTACTTGCCTTCATATAATTTCAGACCTGTATGACTTTTTTCCCTCTGGAAGCAAAAAATGTTTATTCATTATGGGTATAGACAGATCTTTCCATGTGTTTGCCCCATTTTGAATTTAATTGTGTAATCGTTATATCTGCATTTTTACCACCATTTCTACCTTTTTTTTATTATTTATTTTAATTTTTGGCTGTTTTTTTTACTTTATTGTGATAGGACAGTACCTTTAAAGGAAGCAATGTTGAAGAGAGAGATGGGAATCAGATTGGGAAAGGTCCAGAACTAGTCTAGTCTGGAATAGAACTTTAAAATCCTGATTTACAGACAGGGTGCAAATTATACGTTGATGATTGAGGGAAGTTTTTTGGTTATGTTCGGTAATATACCAAATATATTTAATTCAGTTACATCAAATTTATTAATCAAACTTGTTATTATGTTTTCAGTGTTTTGAGGGATATTGAGTGGTTCTCAATGACAGTTGTGTAATTAAATAAACGGTGTGAGGTTTGGTTTCTTGCACCTATTGATGGATGACCATGAAAGACTGCACATATAAATATTTTTATTTTATTTCACTGTTTAATTTCCATGTGCGAGCCTGTGTATAATAAAATACAAACTATATTTCTAGTTTTACAGACACCTACAAACATCTTTTTTTAAAGAAATATGTTTTGTGAACACTTACACTGTCTATCGGTGCTTAAGATTTGCTGGTTTCAAACTGATGATTTCATATTTTTGGTGCAAACATGCATTCACAATGGTATAAACCATTACAGGCGTGGTCATATGTATATTAAAGTTATCTATTATTGTAATTACTAGTATTATTTAAGGTACAGATCAGAGCAAACTATTTCTTAACTATTAAAGTGTAGACTCCCCCATACATCTTGTTTTGTTGTTCGTCAGGGGGATCCAGTGTTAATTAGGGGGGTCAGAGGGGTATTTCACTCTCTGTTCAAAGATAATTGGGACTATTTTTATGTAAAAGAAAGAAAGGCTTGAATTAAAGTATGAGTGTTAAATTGATCATTTGTGACAATTTAGAATATTCAGTGTATTCCTTTAACTTCATATGCTTTGCAGATAACTTTTTGTTCTTCCTCTCATTCAAAATTACACTACCCTCCATTTTAGGTCAAAACAATTTTATTTTTAAGGATTATGCTAGGCTGGAATAGACTGGAAGCTGGAAATCAGCTTTCCCAATCTAAAAAAAATAGTTAGGTTAAAATACCCCAACTTATAACCCATATAATAATGGGTTACATAATTTAACCCAATGCATTGGGCTATTTTGATTAAAAAAATTATAAAAAATCCATTCTGGTATTACTACTGCTACTATTACTATACTATTAAATAAATAATATACATTAAATAGCAAACTTTAAAATGCTTTATTTTTTTTATTTTAAATTACAGACACTAAAGTTAAAATAAAACAAGAATCACAAACAATGAAGAAACAGAACAAAGTACAGGAAGTTATAAACTGTGCAAGCAGTAATCATGTGTTGATGGAGCAGAATATGGAGTTCTGTGTGCTGTAGCAGCTGCAGCAGGCTTCACTCAGTGTCCACAGTGTACAATACATTTTAACCACATCCACACTTCTATACAAAAATAATTATTTAAAAAAATGTTTTTCGGTTTACTCATATATGGATTTATATTAATGGAATATTTTTATGTCACGTTTAAGGCGGCTAGAAGGGCACCCACTGCATTAAACACATGCTAGAGCATTTGGTGATTCATTCTGTTGTGGCAACCCCTGACAAATAAGTAACTAGGTCAAATGATTGTGAGTGAGTGTATTTTTTAAATTACTTCCTTTTAAAACAGTAGCTCACCAAATCCCAAATATTTAAACAGCATCAAAATGACCATATCTTATAAATCTTATACCATGTCTTATAAACACTCTCATTTTCATTTTAAATTCAGGTCTATGAAATCGTCACATGCTTCACTTAATGTTTACTACAGTAGAAAAACTTCAGCAGTTTCCAAACTGCTGATTGGATGTGTGTTAAGACAGGATTTAACCTCCGTTTCACGGATCATTTGACCAAATAGTGGACCCTCGGCCGTAAGTTTGCTTATCATGAGCAATGTGGTTCTTTAGTAAGCTTTCTTTCCATTCTATATTAGTTCATGTTGGTAAAATATTGGTAAATGTTTGCACTTAAAGCAATCAATTGGAGCTATATAGTGCTGCGGTTTACCTGAAACATTATGCTGTGGTATTCATGCTAACGATGCAGCTTTGGATTTTGCCAGCAATACATTATATCCCAATACTATTCTTACACTAATGTCAAGATTGTGTTTGTACGAACAAACTGGTTCAATAGATGTTTTTCCTCAGTGTTTCATTTCTCTTTTGAAAGTGGCTGAACTTTTGTTTTGCAATGCAGATGTAAAAACTGGAAGGGTGTCAGACAAAAGCGGTGGAGTCATAGCCAGGAGCTCGGTTCACAGGGAACAATAGGATAGAAATGTCAGGAGGCTGAATCACAGCACTGCCCTCAGCACAAACACAGTGGATGTGGCGGTGGGAGATGTCCCGTGCGGCAAAATGAGTGGGCAGCTTTCACAGCATGTACAGTCATAGCTCGGGGAAAAGAAAAAGAGGCTTTAGAGAGAGAGAAACAGGAGGAAGAAGCTCAATGTCTCCCCCTGCTGAATAAAGTTGAAAGGCACAACTTTTGTAGTGAAAAGTTTTATCAGTTGGAAATCAGAAGAAATATTTTCTTTCCCATGTTGAGGGCTAAACAGTTTTGTTTCCCGTTGACTTCCATTGTATAGACCAATAGTAGGGGAGATGGTAGACCTAAAATTTCAATATGACTGATTAGACTTGTTTTAAGCTAACCTAACAGAAGTAAAAGAGCAGTAGTTTTTAAGCATATACTCGAAGCACAGTATAATGCTAGAAAAGTAAAGTTTGTAGACAAACTTTATGGTGGCTTGAGAACGCCTAGTCTGAAAGTTTGAAGTAGTTTAAAAGTTTTAATAATTAAAGTAGTTTTTAATAAGTTTTAAATAGCTGGCATTGATAGATCACTACACATGTTAGCATGTGTTAGCACATTCTAGTATGGATTGGCATGTTTCTAGCTAGGGCATTGCTAGTGAGTTCTGAGTGGCAACTAATGCGTTGCTAGGGTGTTCTAGGTTGTTGCTAAGGTGTTGCTAGAAGGTTTCTAAGGTGTTCTAGGTTGTTGCCATGGTGTTGCTAGGTGTTGCAAGGAGGGTAAGCCATTTTCACCCATTTGTCCCAGGATTCTCCCTTATTTTACAATTTTATCTCACTATCATCCTGTAAAAGTATTTTCCCGTATATCTCCTGTATTTAAATTTTTTTATGAAGGGTGGCAAAAAAACATCAAAGAGCCGATCCTCTCTATACGCAACCCATACTGCCGAACCACCTAGGAACGCCCTTTGCTCTTATATATAAATGAATCTATTCTGTGCTTTCATTTAATTTAGGCATGAAAACACTTTGAAAAAAATATAAAAACGGCAGGAGTCCCTTCCTTTCAATTACACCATTGCCTGCCCCTCCTCTGCAGTCCTCAAAACAGTCAATTCATGTAGTGGTGCGTGACTGTCAGACGTGCTCCATATTGATAAATAGATGCTGTTTCCCAAACGGATTCTGCACACATGATTTGAATCGGAGCGAAAGTGGACATTCTTGTATCCCTTATTTTCGCATCCCAATGTTGAAATGATTGAAATAATCATGTTCTCTAATTTTAATGTAAATACATTTGTAGTCAATGGGAGCCAAAGCAATTTAGTTACCTTGCCCTGGTAATTGTTATAAATGAAAGCGTTTAGAGAGTGAGAGAGAGAGATGAGCCACCATATCCGCATCTGTTCTTTACCCATCGTGCCATATTTGGATGCTCCTTAATCAACGCAAGCTCATTGGAAATACTTGCCTCAGCCTATACTTTTTTGAAATAGCAAGAACATACATCAGCATAAGTTTGACTGTGGCTTCTAAGTCAAATGAATACTAAGGGGCAGTATGATTCCAACAAATTTTGTTCCTTTTTTACAATAATGATATTTATAGGGACATAAAATCAATGAATAAAGGATTATTTTCATGTAATTCTTTGCATAACCCAACATAAATACTACAATAAACCTAAATGTGGTTCATAATTTGTAATAGAATACATTTTGCCTCATCTTTCTGTCTTTATATGGACACATTTTCCGCTGCGGTCAGCTTGCTCTGTAGCTCACTATGTACTGTGATAAAGGGCACTCAAGATTGAGTCCATTACCCTAAGTAATGTATTTTAGATTTTAAAATTGTAGACAGCGCCCTCTATTGGATTTGTCATCTCAAACATGTAACACAATGTACCCAGAGCAACGTATTTTATGTTTGGTTTAGCATTTATAGTAAGCCTGGGTTACCCTAACTGCCATTTTTCTTTTCCTCTTTGTTTTTTCTCTTTGCTTACCTCTACTCTTCTGTGTTGCTTCTTGCTCCAGACATTTGATTTAAACCCAGATGACATAGATTTAGAGAACGAGCCTTGGTTTAAATTCTTTTCCGAGTTGGAGTTTGGACGGCCGGTAAGTTGTGTGAGGGTGCAGCAGATTGGCATGCTAGGCTATAATCTCCTTGTCCTGTACACACTTGCTGCTGTGTAACGACAAGTGCGCGCGTGTGTGTGTAGTTAAAGTTTTGACATGTGCACACTGGCTTTATAAAAACTTATTTTAACAACAAAGGAATCTGTGTTTGCACACTGAAAACAGTACAATAGCACTTAACACCACCACAATGACAATTTGCAGGCCCCGATATACTCACAGCAACATTTTTGTTCATTCATTGAAAAGTTCAAAATAAGGTATGATGTTGCACTTAACATGCTGCTGAGGCTTTGTCTACAATAATACACTTTTAATTAAAAATACATATAATTGTGTGACCGTATTACTGCCCTTCATAATGATAAAGCATTTTTTGATACGTCTGTTTTACGCTGCAAGCGTGTTCGTAAGTGCAGAGTGTGAGCAGTTCGTATCAAAAGCAGAAACAGCGCACAGGCGTTTGCCTTTCACACAAGCGCAACTGATCAGCAGCTTTTACACAGATCAATCTATCTCTGTCTATTCTATGTAGTTACCTAACTATCTTTATATATAAATACACTTTTTTTTACTTTTCATCTGCACCAAGGCCCAAAGCAACTTCCTCCTATGTTGTTTCCTTAACCTGCAACTATTTGTTTTACAAGTATATATATATATATATATATATATATATATATATATATATATATATATGTATGTATATATATATATATATATATATATATATATATATATATATATATATCCAAAAGAGCTGTTTGCCTCTTAAGCTCTTTTAAAGTGTACTTGGTCAGAAGACAATTGCCTATGATATCATGTCATTTTGTTATTGATTGTCAGGATGATTTAGGCCTATAATTATAATTATATTTATATAATATAGTTATAATGACATTTATACAAGATCAAACTGGTGTGCAACTTAGTAAGCAAAACTAATACTAAAACAAATAAATATTTGTTGCCGTTTTTATTCGTTTAATTCATTTGATTAAATTTCTAAAAATCTGAGGATATTATTAATGCATTTATTGGGTAAAATTGCTATTTTTTACTGTCATTCAATGTGTTTTTGGTCATTATGAATGCACTGTCACTTTAATTGAGTGTGAGCTAGATAGACCCAGCATCGAAACTATCGCTGCACTGCTGCTTCAGCGACGCTCACACCTCGCGCTGACGTGCTGCTTCTGCATGCCGTATGAAAGCTCTAATCTGTTAACATGGACGCCAAAAAAAAAACAAGCTCTGCTCCCGGTTGCGATGTGAAACAGACTTTACTGAAAATAAAGCTTTTCGAAAATGCTTTTAATAGTGGTTAAATTTGAAAATGCAGTTTTATAATTTTGAATTTGACAATGGTGGCTTTTGCAAATATGATTTGTGTTAGAATTGATGTGATGCTGCACAGACCAATAGGTGTATGACAATAAAGTATTGCTAGAATAATGCGAAAGCATGAGAAGCAGCCCCAGTCTCAGAGACAAGCATTTTTCACTGGAGATTAACAACTTTTGGAAAATGCTAGTGTGTATAGAGACTATGTGACTTTGCGATATTTAGTTTTTCTATTATATCATCAGTGACATTACTGTAGTTTCACCAGCTGACTTAAAAAACACATAATTTTTTCATTTTAGAATAATTGGAGAGATTCTATAGACGAGTATCTACATAAATTATAATAAACAAACTGAAAGCCTAAATAAATACAATATAGAGCAAAGATGCTAATTAAATTGTAATTTTCTGGGCTGATTTGATCCGAAATATGTCAATTTGTGCTGCTCACTCGCTTCTCAAGAACAAAATAATCCCAACAAAAATGACAGCTGGGAGAAAACTGCAGTTCAGAACGCATCAGATGGGCTAAAAGAGATGTGGATATTTCATGAGCTCTGCAGTTCGGCACTCTTTATGTCATGTTTATTTATATAGAACATACATTAGATTGCTTTAAAGCAAGCTGCTTTATAGAGCTGGGCAGTATGTCCCAAAAATCATATTACAGGTATATTATGACAAAACCATGACTAAGCTACTTTTATACACGGGTATTGTCATGTAAAACAATCAGTTAAATTCAAAGTCTTATATTATATTAATTATCGCTATTACAGATTAAAACAAAAACAAAAAATCTGAACTGACACTCATTTTTCTTGTTTTAAAAGTAATTTTGATTCTAATATTTTTGGAGAGAGACAAAGAAAAGCAAATAGTAAAAGAAAAAAAATATTTTGAAATGCAAGAATCCAATTTAACCTGAAAATATGTACGTTTGTGCTGCACACTTTTCTCTCAAGAACAAAATAATCTCAACAAAACCGTAGTTAAGAAAGCATCAGACATGTTTTGATTTGCTCTGCAATTCAACACTTAGTAATGTCATATTTTTATATATAGAACATGCATTATATTGTTTGAATGCAATCATCTTTAAAGTATGAAAAGGCATTAGTGTTGCTTTCATTTAGAATAAAATAAATTCTTGTCAGTTTGTTCATGTATTTACTTACTTGTGTCTCCCCTTGAACGACTAAAAATAATAAATGAATAAATACTTGAAGTATATCGGGTCCTTAAAATTACTAGAAGTACAGTGTTGTTAACAGAGGAACAGGTTAACAGTTTGAACTTTTAGTGTGAAACACTGTTGTTTTTTGTTTTGTTTTTTGCTTTGGCTCTGTTTGCGGTATCACATTCTTACAGCTTACAGCATTTACAGCTGGAGAAACTGTGCAGAACACACTTGACAAGTCTGTTTGTTTTCAGTAATGAATGAGCATAGGATAATACAGTGGCCGTAAAAGGATTTGAACCTTTAATCCACACATAAACTGGGTAAATCTGAGTAATTTCACATCAATGAGTTACAGTAGGTGAGAGTTCAAAGTGGATATTACCGCCGCGTCATATACCGCCGCCGTTTGAAATAACTGCCGCTTTGTTTTTAGTGTATGACCGCAGTTTTTGAGTAAGCCGCCAGGGGGCGCAAAGGGACGGGATGCGAACGGACAGAAATACCCTATACAACAGCTTTAAATATGCTACTGTGCTTGTACATGAGATTTAAAAATAAGTCAAAGTATTATAATTATAACTTCATTAATCATTTAAAATTTGTTAACACGCTTTATTGTAAACTTTTTAAGTGCAAAGAGGATTCATTTTGGAAAATAGAATTGAAGAAATAAAAGACAACTACAATAAAAGCACAAACATTCAGCACAAATAAGTAGTCTTAAATAAATAAATAAATAAATAAATAAATAAATCTGTCTTTTAGCCTAAATATAGAAAGATGTTCAGTGTTATCTATTTTGATGCTGTTTTAGAACGCTTAAACAACATTCTTAAACAATAGTTAACACAAAATTATGAAAAGTTTGAAGACATTTAATAAGTTGAGTGTGCGTTATATACTACTAATGTAGTGTGTTCAGAAATTATTCAGGGTTTCTGTGGGTCTTAAAGGTGCTGTATGTAAGTTTTTGACTCTTCTAAAGCATAAAAATACCATGATATGTTTGCAGATTTTAAAAGAACATGCTAAATACACATTCTTGTTTATCTGAAAAATAATGCTGAAGTCAGATATTCTGCTTTGAAAATGTGTTTTCAGTGCCAAAAAGTCTGTCTTTGTTTTGGTCATTTTAACCTGCTAGATGGCAGTTTCAGCACACCAGGTTGCCTTGGTGTAAAACCGCGTATTTCATTCATTTCGTCAGGAAGGCTCTGAAAGTTTGTGTTCGTGACCAAAATGGGACCTCCGATGGACAGTAACAGACTCCGAAATGAGACACAGATTCAGAGTTCCACATGAGATTATTAATAAGCAAATAATATAAATAGTGTGCACATAAACATTAGGTAAGCATTTTACATTGTAACCACGTGTCCTAACAACACACTACGTGATGAGATACGCAATTTGACTGTTTGCATCAGACGAAACATGACAGAAATTTAAATACAGCTATTCAGAAGCACAGAAAATGCACTCACTCATGAAATGTTAATGTTTATAATCTATTTAATACATATTAACCTTTAACTCTTTAGCATTATTAATTGTACATGCTGAATCACTCATATGTGTTTAGTTCTAAAGTTCAATTTCAAACGGTTTATTTTATTTTAAAGATCTGAGGTGAACTATCTGCTGCTGCTTTCAGTATATGGCAATAAATGTCATGTAAAATGGCATTCAAACTCACATTGTTAGCATTTAACACTGAATAAAGCACATGAGGTGGACCTGAGGTGATCATTGTCATAGTGTTCTACTGCTCATCTGTGAGAAATAGAAGCCGTTTTTAATATATCAATTAAAGGTGTTGGTTAGGAATAAAACTCCTTTTAATGTGGAAAATATTACTTTTATCTGGTGCCGTTGCTTTTATATAGAACACGGTGTAAATAACTCACTCCTGTCCTCAACCTGCGCTTGCCTTTGTTTTGATCCAGGAGTGCAATACCTAGTTAAAGCACTGGGTGTCAAACTTACATACTGCATCTTTAAATGGGTCTTTTATAACAGAACAGAAAGTGTTCAAATTCAAAGTTTTGTTAGTTAGTTTTTTTGTTTGTTTGTTTGTTTGCTTGTTTGTTTGTTTTCAGTTACAAAAAAAAGATTTACTTGTAAAGCAAAATTAAAACTTGTAAGTATTTTCTTCTGAGGAAATAAACAAAAATAGACTAAGTCACTAAAAATGAGAAGAAATATATGTCAGTCGTGTATGAAAATCACATTACTGTTTGACCAAATATGATAAATATTTGTTCCCTTTTTAATCCAAATAACAAAATTTACTTTGTTTAATAAATTTAGACTTTTTGATTTTAATGTAAATTGAAATATTTATTGATTATTTGACTTATTTTAATTTAAAAGACTTGGTGATCTGTTGGGAGTTGTACAGTATTTTAAAAGCTTTTAGGTGTATTGCTAAGTCTTGTCTGTCCCCTATATTTTTTATTTAAAAGAACATATTGAAGTGATGTTTTCCTTTTAAATCATTAATTACATTTTATTTATTTGTTTTTAAAATAGTCTTAAAACAAGTAAGTCCAAAAATAAGTGAAACAGTTGTTATTAAAAAGTTGTTATTAGCATATTAAAAACAACACAGATGTGCATCAAAAATCCAGACAACCGCCAAAAAAAATGTAGAAACTGGTCATTCTAATATGCTAATTTGGTTCTGTGCCTAATAAAAGCTCAAAAGAACTGCATTTCCTTCAAATAGACTTTAGTTTGTGACCTCATCAAATGCAATAAAATGAATAAGCCTGTTCATATATTTTGGAGGCCACTGTATGTTCATTAATGAGACATTACAGTATATGCACAGTTCCTCCAGCTCCTAGAGAACACACACCCGCCTTGTTTACTGGTTGAGTTTGCTGCCATCATGTGTAAACAAGCAGCATCTGGGTGAAGCCTTGATGTAGTTCCATCATTGTGTGTATTAGATGTACACACAATCGGCAATGTGTGTAAGGTAGGTAAAGCATGTGTGAGCACTTGTGTAGTCTGTCACACACACTAGCACTCACCCTTTGTTTGTTTGTGCACTGTGTGTGGGTTTTGCTTAATCCTTCTCTGTGTTTCTCCATGCCTAACGTTGTCACTCTCTCCACATGTGTCTTTTTCCCATGACGCACCTGCTTCTCCACCTCATCTTCACCTCTGTGCTGTGCGTTTGTTCTGGTGGCGGGACGTTCAGCCTCCTAAAAAGAGGTTGGATTATAATCCTGACTACTCCACACATACTGTGGCACAGGTAAATCTGTCTTCCTGTCCATCCATCCATCCATCCATTCTTTCTTTGCTGGTTCTTTTAACATTCTACAATACTTTTTTCCCTTGCACTGCTTTCTGATGCATTTTTATTTACAGATATAATATTCATATGTACATTTTATACATTTTAAACTGTCTTTTCATGGAAAAAAAATATGTAATAGTTCATTTAAAAGTCACTTTATTTCAGGCTTTCCTTAAGTGTCAGATAAAAAATGTTTTGTATTAAAAGTACTGAACACTCACATATGTATTTTGAGGTGGGTAATGCTTTTTTTTTTTAAATCAGATTTTGTTTATGCTTTGTTTGCAGTCGGGTTTACTTCATCTGCTCTTGAAATTTTTACTCTTAATGCAGTAGTTCACCCAAAAATTTAAAATCTGCCATTTTTTACTTGTATTACAATTAGAATTACAAAGTAGATGTTTTTACTATATACTTAATATACATATATATATATATATATATGATCCTTACGGATATCAACCCACAGTTCAGAACGCACGTGACCTTCGGATTAATAACTTTTTTGAACTTGTAGAATAATCCTCCATTTATAATAATTGCGGAGAGATCACCTCTTGCGTCATTCAAATCACATGTATGAAAGCATTTTGGCTTCCCTGTAAAATACAATGATGAGGGAAAATGTTGTGGTGGAACCTACCAAAATGCTTTCTTAGGTTAATAATTTAGTGTTTTCTGTCACTGTTTGTTTAGCCTGCATGAATGCATTGGGTGTAAAGCTGCAAACCTTGATGCTGAACTTAACGCTGGTGAATGTTGTAGCAATTACATTGTGTAAAAACAACCATCAAAAATAGCCAATGTTACTGAATAGGTTTTCAATTTGATCCCCCTATAATGAAATATGAAGTTAAATGTGTGAATTGTTGAATCATTAATTGAAAATAAATATATGTTGTACAAGATTTTAAAATTTCTATATTTAGCAATATCAGCAACAGTAGCAAGGATAATTTTTCATATTGGTTCTTAATCGATTTTTATTTTTTATTAAAATCAGAGGTTCTAAGTTTTGTTTGTTAAAACCAATGGTTTTTGCAGTAATGTCTTTGTATAAATGGAAAGCAAATTACATTTTTCTCCTTACTTTTTTGCTGAAGCGAAATATGGTTCTAATCTGTGACTCAAAAATCGTAGTGTGATTCGAACCGTGAGATTTGTGATCCGTTACACCACAAATATATATACAACACTGTAACATTAATGAATATTAATGAAGTTGCACGATAGAGCGCGCTGATTGGTTTGAACCGAAGCCTTACTCATGCATTAATGCAGCACACTCGGAGACGTAATACAGGACACCCAGGCACAGACGTCCAGTCTACACGCTGGAATACACACTAAGATCTCAGGGCGGTGAGGCAGCTTCAAAAATTTGTTTCAAACCGGAAGTTTGAATTTGCTCAAAATAACGCAGAAATAACCAATTTTCATTTTTTAGTGAGATATATGGGTCCTAATAGTGTTTTTAGCAGTGTGTGACACATATACCATTGTCAACAGCTCAAAAAAATGTGTTTTGGTGTTTCGTGACCCTTTAACACTTTTAACAAATGTATGTGGATTGATCATAAAAAATTTTGTTGTCCCAATGAAATCTCAAGAATTCTGTTGATTCAGCTTATTTTAAATAAGTAGTTAGTAAAATTTTTTGAGTGTCCTATAAGTATAATTGTTAGTTTTGTAACTATAATATATTCTATATGGCCTTAGTAACTGTAAAGTAGATGATTTTTCTGTTAGTAACTATAAAAACCCTGACTTACATTTTGTAGACTGCTAATAGTGATGATTTTGGTAGCCAAACCATCACTAAAGAAAAGACAAAAAGTCATGACAACAAATGTTTTCCTAATACTATTTTTTTAAATACATTTAGCAAGTTTCAACTAATTTATTTAAGTTTAACTTAATAATTTTAGTTAGTTTGATTGATGTTAGTTGAGCTGACTTGAAAAAGTTCATTTGATTCAACTTAAAAATTGAAGGCAGCAAGCTTTTTTACAGTGTTCATTACCACTGTATGGGCTGAAAACATTTTGTACATTTATCAGTTTGTCTTATTCCAACCAATAAATCAACCAGTCAATAAGTAAATAAATAAATAATTCATACATGTTTAGACTGACATAAATTTAAATAAATTATTACAAAGTTTCAAGCTTTTGGGGGGACTATCTTATTAATTTCATTGCCATTTTAGGAGACTTTCTCTTAAAATGTTCTTTGTTGAATGAACGAGTTCATGTACATGAGAGAAAGTTGTTTTGTTATTTATTTTTTTCTATTCAAATATGTTACTTGAGAAGAGTCATAAACTTCCTAAGTACTTAAATGCACTTTTCCTGCTTGTGTGGATTGGCTTTTAATATATCTTCCTGTCTGCCACACATAGGATCAGCAATGGTGTGTTTAAAAAAATGCTGTGCTGTCAGTAATTGCTTTCCTTTCTTTCCTCTAATCCAAGTCTTTCAGATTAGCCAGAATGAACACCAGAGACTGCTGTATTGTGCTCAGATTTGTAGTTCGCCCCAGGCCGTGTCAAGGGAAAAGGAGGCGTGGTGATCTTGGACAACATAATAGATGGGGCTTCTTTTGACCTGGTGCCACGTGCAGCCTTTCTGGAATTAAGACTGTTTTGTTTGCTTCTTTTTGTCTGGCTTTGGTAACCACGGGATCCGGCCCTTTTTTTTCACACAATGTCAAAGTTTATTCACAGTCCTTCAAGATGGGATAGAGAGATGTGGAACCCTCGTCTGTCATGGCTTTATTTGCGCATGCGGGGGGAAGGTTTTGAGCGTGGCGCAGGACAGGATGCATTACTCTTCTTTGTTCCTATGGATCTCACTCTTCTCTGTTGTTGTCTGCTCTCTTTCAGTCATCTCTCTATATCTCGCCTTCTGAACGACCTGATGGGCCTTCAAGGTAAGCACTTGTTTTGTTATTATCATGCTTTTCTCTCTGTGGTTCTTTCATTATTTCTGAAAGATTTGCATTGGCTGTCCAATGGATGGCAGATCCTAAGCATTCTCAATTTATTTGAATCGAAATGCTTTTAAAGCTCTGTCACTATCCATAAGTTAGTGTATGTTTGTTTATAATTTGTGAATCTGGCATCCCATAATGCTCTGTCTGACTATTAAACATTTTTTATGCATCTTCTAGATCTCAGATCATCCATACATGAGCTCAGATCAGTGACACATGCTGTTCATGTGACATCTGTAGAGTACAAGATATGACAATCCTAATTTCTCAGTGTTTAATTTGTTGAAGGCTTTATAATCAGAATATTTTTGTTACTTTATGTATTAATATATTATTTACAAGCTGTATCATTTTGGGTGACGTTTCTTTTTTTAATATAGCATAATGATAAGCTTAGTTTAAATTCAGAGAAGTTTCAATCCCTTAAAATGTGAAATTCTAGAGTACATCATTTTGATTTTTATAATACTACTGGACTGGTGAATGTGTGGTTTTCTGTTGAACATTGTAATAATATGAAATGATTTATGAATAGGGTATGAGATTATTATTATTATTTAACAGATAGGCTATGAGATTTATGAGATTAAATATGAGATTATTTTAGCTAAAGTAATTCTACTGCATTAAATCTCCATACACTATGCCAGATGATTTTCAGGTCACAGCTTGCAACTGTCAAATTTCTAAATTAGACATTAAAGGCTTTGGATGAAATGCGTAAGAAACTAGTCCCACACATAGAAGCAGTTTAAAAACCTGACGAATACAATGTATAATCTGAATTTTTAGGTTTAGTAACTGTAGTATAAGGGTGCTTTCCCACAAGCACTTTTGGTCCGCACCCAGGTTAGTTTGATGTCAAAGTACAGTATGTTTAGCTAGTGTGAATGCTGTCTTCTGAACTCAGGTGCGCACTCATGAACTGTACCCGAGTCCACCTGAAAGAGGAGGTCTGGAGTACGGTTCATGCAAACTCTGGTATGGTCCACTTCTGATTTGAATGCAATCATACCAAATAACGGACGTGAACCACCGGCTGTACAACAAACTTTAGTTTTCATAACGTTCATTTGTGTGTGTGACATAGCTTGGCAACAAGTGGGACTGACCTAGTGCAATGATAATGTCTGCTTGTCTCCACCAAAAATGATTTTGCAGACATCATGCGATTTTCTGAAGGTTTATTTTTATTATTTTTATTGCAGCAGATAGATGCAAGTGGCTTTCTATATTTGGGTTTTGTTACCAAAAAAGATTCAATAAAAGCAGAATGACCGTGAAATGCGGACATCTCTATTTTGGCCCTTTGCTTTTGTGGCTGTCACCTAGCAACAGCTGTACACAAAACAGCAGTTTGATGACGCAAGCGTACCAGGACTCAGACTAGATGTTCTTGCTGCAACCCGCAGCTTGATGTAGGTGTTTGTCAACTACATAGGGGACCTTGTACCGCCCACTAAGGTAACGCCTATGCTACTGTGTTGGTTGGGTTTAGGGTAGAAGAAGGTGTAGGCCATCATCAAATTGTAAAGCCCATGCTACTGTGACAGTTGGGTTTAGGGTAGGGTAGGTGTAGGCCATCATCAACGTAGCAAACCTTGTACCGCCCACTAAGGTAGCGCCCATTATACTGTGACGGTTGGGTTTAGGGTTAGGGGAGGTGTAGATGTAGGTGATCGTCAACTATGTAGCGGACCTTATACCCAATCAAGCAAATGTCATGGTGGCTTTGTCTGTGTACCGATTCACGTTCTTGTGTTGATCGGTCGGACTTGCAGGATACCTTGGAAGAACATACTCGAACCGCGAGAACACAGAACGCTTCTGAAAAATGAAATGCTGTGAGCTTCCTGTTGATTACATGATGGCTCGCACCACTAGTGGGTTGTGGGGGACCCCTTAGTGGCAGTAGGGCCCTAAGCAGCCACTTAGTTTGCTTATAGTGAGAACAGGCTATGCTTGTACCGCCCTCTAAGGTAACGCCCATTATACTGTTACGGTTGGGTTTAGGGTAAAGGGAGGTGTAGAGGATGTAGCGGACCTTGTACCGCCCACTAAGGTAGCATCCATTGTTGGAAGAATAAAAATGAAAGAGAGAACCCAGTCCAGGAGACTCAAAACTAGCAGAATTCCTTTATTGAGATTTGTTGGTTAATCTGCAGTCATATACTGTAGCGTCTCCAAGAAGTCCACGAGTCTGTAAGAGCCTACTGGAGTCTCTTACAGGTCTGCAGTCTGTACGTTTATCACAAGTCTGTATTCAGGTCTAAAATTAGTCTAATTATGTGTTTTAGAAGGAGGGAAGTGGCTAAGTTGGGTTTAGGGTAGGGGGAGGTGTAGGCAATTGTCAACTACGTAGTGGACCTGGTCAACTACGTCATCAAGCTGCGGGCCTCAGCAAGGACTGTCTCGGTTCAGAAGGAAAAAAGAAAACCAGCCAAAGTGGGGACAATTTAACTTGGGTTCCGATCAGGCATTCAGACCAAGTGTGAAACCACCCTGAATCTCCATTTCACCATGCCAGATCATTTACAGTAAACAGCCTACACCAGTCAAAATTTATATATAATCATAAAAGGCTTTGGATAAGATGCATAACAAACTAGTCCCATACATAGAAGCAATTTGAGGACAAATTGACAAATCTGTTAAAATACAAGATCTGAACAGAGTTTTTAGGTGTGGTAATTGTAGTATAAATTAAATAATTGACACTGGTCTATTGAATTCTAAAAAAAATAATACGGCTACCTCACTTCCCCTTGTGGCTTCAGTATTTCTTACATAATCCTGTTTGCATATATAAAAAAAATACATTTAGTTTGCAGCAAAATGAGTTTCGCATTTGTTATTTTAATGCATTTTTGATCTGGGAATTTTAGCTCTGCAAGTGACTACAGAAAAAGGCGAAAGTCTGAGCCATCTGTCACTCAAGCCAACACAGGAAGTGAACAGAATGCCAGTCAAGTATTTTCTCGCACACTGGACTCCAGTAAAGCACAGACGCTGAAGAAGCCCACCATACGCTCTTCCCCCTCTTCACCATCAAGAGCCAAAGGTACATTAAATCACACTAACATAGCTACACATGCTAACAGCAGGTGTTACAATGGTCAAATATTGCTGAAGACATTGCAGTGCCATATTAAATACTAAATCAGTGCAGCACTATTTATCTGCCAAAGAACTAGTTGATTGATTTCTTTTACCATGTCTGTATTTACAGTAAAAACAAATGCTTAGTTCTGTTCTGTCAGAAAACACAAAGATTCATTTCTCTTGATTTATTACGAGATCAGGTTTGTGCTTAGCAGGACCTAGTATAAGAAATTGAAGTGTCTGTAGAACATACTTATGTGAGACTGCATGCTCTCCTCTTTCTTGTATAAAGACGCTGACACTTTCTCACTTATTCTTGCTTCTCTCTTGCTGCTTTATTTTCTGTCAGCTAATCTCACTAAACAGCTTCCTGTCTCCTCTTTGTCATGCTGCGTTGGATGTTATTCGAATTCACAGCTGGAGACTTTAGTGAGTCACTCTCCTCCTGTATGAGCTCCCCAGGTATGGAGCGCCCTTCCTCTCGTATCTCCACAGACTCCCTCACCATCTCCACACCAACTTGGCCTAGCTCCAAGCGCTCCATCTGCTTCAAGAACGGTTGGCAGACAGGCAGGCATGAAAATACAGAGAACTGGAGCAGCGCTGATGATGATTCTGCCATGACCCCTACGTCACCACGGCTCAAATCGCGCAGCTGTGATGATTTGCTGTCTGATGGACACGGTGCTACCACCAATAGTAATGGGAGAGAGGCCAATCCTGTTTCTAACACTCGTTCGGAAAGTGCGGGTTCACTTATTGATGAAGAAGCTCAAAAACCTCAAGTAAAAAGTCTTACCTCATCTCCCAGGGGCCGCCGTCATCACCGGCGTAAGTTGCCACATGATGCTCCAGGTTTCCTTCAGCTCTACAAGAAGATGCACCACATTGATCGTGAACAGTTATTGCCCTCTGAGGTGATTCGGTCTGTACGTGCACGAATCCTCGAATTGGAAAGACTACAGCAGCAACAAAGGCATAGCATTCATGGGTGGGCACCTTTAGGTCATGAGGTGCCACGGCAAATGGTTCCAAACCGTATATCTGCATATGAACAGCTTATCCAGAAATCAAAGTCTATGCCAGATCTTGGTGATGAAAATGCCCCTTCGGGCACCACCACACCCGGCTCCTCAAGGGCCAGCAGCTGCCCCAAGCGACGCTTTTCTGTTGAATCTCTTTTGGAAGAGGAGGATCCTCCAGAAAATGCTAGAAGTCCTCCTGAGGGTCAGCCAAGGTTGGGAGCCGACAGCTTGGTGCCAATTCATGGGAAGAACCAAAGGCAACATCAAGACTACTCGGACAGTGAACAGGACGCATGTGCCTCTGAAATAAGCGACATCCACATTGAAGGATCGTCATTGTGTAGTGAGAGCGACCTGGATCACTGCTCGCTCACCTCATCAGAAAGCTTCTATGGTTCTGGGCAACATCACCATCATGGACACCATCACCACTATCACCGCCACCATCACCAGAGTGTAGGTCAAAGTCAAGGTTACCAACACCGCCACCTTATCAGCTCCTGCAAGGGCCGCTGTCCGGCATCCTATACACGTTTCACTACAATGCTAAAACATGAGCGGCAACAAGAAAGGGCTCGACAGGAGTCCCATCCTGCAATTAGTTCTCCGCTTGCCCAACAATCACCCAGTGAGTCAGGCCTTTCCAAACTGGCCTTCCTGGTCAGCCCTGTGCCTTTCCGTCGGAAACGAGGCTCCCCACCAACTCAGCGGCGGCACTGCAGAAGTGGGCGCCCAAAATCTAAAACTGCAATTTATGAGGCTTTAGATGCCGCTTTACAGGACATTTATGACCACATAAGGGCGGAAAAGGGACAAGAACCAGCAAGGATGCCAGATGATAGCATATTGCGCCGGTTGTTGGAAGAGCTGCTGCCTGATGTGCCCAAGCGTAGCTCCTCGTTGAGGGTTCAGAGAGGGTCCGGCTCCCCCTCCTCGTCCCATGTCCACCAGCCTTATCATGGAGCCCACCAATGTGCCTCCTACCAGCAGCAACACCACCTTGCAGACACCTCCAACAACAACCAGCATAGTACTAATGCTAATGTGCACTGCTACTCAGGTGCATCCACAGTAGATCTCTAAAGCTGTCATCCTTCTGTATCATCGTTGCAGAATCCTCATGTCATTATCCTCAGATGTTCCCAACCAGAGACTTGCAAATGCTTACACTTCTTCTTTTCCACATGGCATGGAATCCAAGTTGAATATGCTAGCATGTTTTAACATGTATATGTTTATATAGTATTTTTAGATCAATTAAATGTGGACAGTTGTTGGTTTCCTGAAGGTAAATTCTCATTCTAGAAACTATTGACTGGTAAAATTGAGGTTTTATACTGGAGGTTTTCTAGTGTTAGTATATTTTAGGGTTCATTAGCTTTAAGTTATATTTAATATAAAATAAAATGGGTGTCTTTCTTTATGCCCATGTCATTATTTTATTTCATGCATTTTATTTGCATTGACAAAATTGGAAAAAAGAAGTATTAGCATTTCATGGTACAATTGATGTCTGGTATATGCATGATGTGTTTTAATAAACTTTATTTTCTGTTTTGATTTTGTTACCATCTCAAATCATTTCATAATGTTATATTTTGCTTCCTTTTTAAGCCTTAATTTTTACAGTGTTCTGTGATTTTTGGGCATGCCAATTTTAATGTATGTTGTGCAGTTATATCCAGATCATCCCTTATGTTTTACTTGACCCAAAACGTAAAATAAATGTTTGTACGTTTTTAATTCAACTCATATTCCTTTTGACATTGGAATGCTGCCACCATGAATAATGTTACAGTGTTTTTCTTTTATGCTGACCTTTTCTATCTGTTTCCACAGATCAGGGCTCTGATACAGGACGAATTACTCCACAAAGCAGAAGACTCACACCAGAAAGAGAGGTAGAAATGTAGCCGTTCTCATATCTATTTTCACATTAATTAGTTTTCAGTTAATTAGAACCATGTTTTGAAATCTACAGGGAATACATCATTGATTATACAGTAAAAACAAGGCAGTAGAAACCAGTCAGAGCTTATCATCTTAAAGCCTGAATCCTAATTGTGCTACGCCAGAAATCCTACAATCCTGTGACCTTCATTTTGGTTACGGTCACAAAATATAGGGCTTAGGTGTGCATATGTTGGATAGCTTATGGTCTTTTTGCTTGCCTCGCAGGTCTCTTCTAAGCAGATGACCTATCTTATATTGTCTTCTCTCCTCCATCAGAAACAGTCTGCCAGAGCAATTTATGATTTTAAAGCTCAGTCTGCCAAGTGAGTATACAGAAATGTGAAAGAAGCTCACTGGTGCATGCCAATAACATCACAGCATTTTCAGCTTCATCAGTTTATTTTTTATTTTTTGTGAAGGTGCATTTCATTTGAATGTTTTCATGCCATTTTCCTTTTTTATATATGCATTTTTGATGTTGCAGTTTTTGCTATTTTGCATACTAACTCGCTTAAGCCAAATTGGTGTCTGTATCACCATTGCTCACATGCTTGTCCTGATTTTGCCAAGTACAATGCAACCCTGGATTAACATCTATGTTGATCCTGGAACAATTTTTGCTCAAAAATGCAATCCATACCTATTCCCTACCCCTAAATCCAACCATAACTGTAAATTATTCCCAAAATCAGAGGGGAATAACTGTTGGATAACAGTCATGTAGATGTGTGAAACCAGTGTTAGTTTTGACAGCAAATTTTGATTTACTTTTAGTTTTAGATTTTTGACAAAAATTCCATTTTAGTTTGTAATTTATTTGTCTTCTTAATCATTTTAGTTTTAGTCGACTAAATTTCATAAAATTTTAGTCAACTAAATGTACTCGAGATTATTTATATTTGGCTTAATTTAAGTGTAATTTAATTAAAATATTGTAGACATTTATTTATACAAAATAGTCTAACTTACAATTAGAGTCTCGTTAGTCTCATTAAAATATGTAATATAGCTTTTCCATTGAAGGCCAATTATTAGATATGTATTGTTTAATTGTATCATAGGTGATATGTAAAATGATGTGTCTGCAAGAACAGTAGACTACTGAAAATGCAGGAATTTGCAATTATTTAGCAAACTCTTTATTTGTACGTGGTAAACTAGTAGTCTTTTTGACCAGTCTGTTAAACAGTTTCATGCCATTACATTTTTGAAAGGGCTTAAAATAGATTTAAGTCCACTTTGCATTGTCAGTTTATAGCAAGCTGTACTGTTGTAGTTGCTGTTACAGTACATGGTACTCAGCTGTATAGCACTGAGTAAATAAGTAGAGTAATGACTTGAGTAATGAGTAATGACTGGCAAATGATAATGCGTTATCTTTTAAAATGTGCTTTTAGTCCCATGGTTCTGTTAGCTCACATAGAAGAATTAGAAAAGACTATAGCATACATCAATTATTTATTTAGTTTCATCTAGTTTTTGTAGGTAGACTCTTATTTGTCATAAAAATTATGCAGAAACTTTTTTGTCAACGAAATCAACACTGGTATAAACCAAACCGTAAGCCATAAATGGTAAACACATCTCCTAATTCTGATTGGCTGATTGGAATATTGTTCTAGGATCAGCATAGATGTTAATCCAGGAACATGTCCTACTTTGTGAAATCAGGTTGGTCGTGATGACATCGCTGTCAATCATTGCATGATGAAGTATCAGTTTGCTTGAAAATCTTTACCTATTAAAGAATTTCAAGGTCTATGAATTGCACTTGAAATGGTATAACAATAGTGGTCACACACATTGTTGTAGCTTGGGAATAACAAATGTTCCCAGTGACTAAAAAGAAACTCTTGGGGGGGAAATGAGATTTATTCTTTATTTATTCTCCTGGACTGATGAACATTGTAAAGTCTGCAATTATTTTCAGGAAAACAGATAGCTCAAGTTGTTGCAGACAAATCTTGACCACATTAGAGTTCTTTACAGTTATTGAGATGCAGGATGAGATGCAAAAGAAGCTAATCATACACTAGGGAGCAGTTTAAAAATGACAAACCTGACAAGTGTGTTGAAATAAAACATTTGAACATTGTCTTTAGGTTTGATAATCACAACATATATCACTCTGTCTCATTGAATATTAAACAAATTACGCAGCTGAGGTGTGCCAGCTACTCTGCTTAATGCCAATGCTGCATCACCACATCAGATGTGAATTGTTTTTTAATAAATCCGTGACCTATGGTCTATTATTGTTGGGCAAAGTTACTTTTATATGTAATATAGTACATTAATAAGCCTAAAAATCTCAATAAAAACACAAGACACCATAACACATCCTTCCACATTAATTCCCTAAAAAGTAATTAACACATTTAGTTACCTTTTTAAAAGTGACTTACGTTTTTAGTATATTACTTTTGAAAGAAACTTAACCCAACACTGTATAATGTATGTTTATAGACACAAACATGTTTGCACGTCTGTTTGCAGGGAAATTTCCTTTAAAAAGGGTGATGCTGTCAACATCATCAGACAGATTGACAGTAACTGGTATGAAGGTGAACACAGAGGGCGGATTGGGATTTTCCCCATCTCTTATGTCGAGGTCAGTGATTAAATAACCTAAATAAATCATCTAAACTCCTGCCCCAGCACACTTAATCACATTCTCTCTTGCTCTATCCCTCCTTTTTTCTCTCTTTCAGAAGGTGGCGTCTCCAGAGCGGAGACAGCCTGTCAGGCCTCCTCCTCCAGCTCAGGTTCGAGAGATGGGAGAGGCCATCGCGAGATACAACTTCAATGCTGACACTAATGTGGAGCTTTCTCTCAGAAAGGTAAATGTACTAAAACACATATACTTGCTCAGCTCACCCTGAATCATAAAGTTTAATGCATGCATGCTTGTTGTTGCTTTTGTAGGGGGAACGGGTGATCCTCCTAAGGAAGGTGGATCAGAATTGGTATGAAGGAAAGATTCCTGGCTCAAATAAGCAGGGCATTTTCCCTGTGTCCTATGTCGATGTGATCAAGGGCTCACCTTCTAAGAGCCCCAGTCACCAAGGAGACACGCACACATATAGAGCACAGAAGGTAAGCCTTTAGCACCATTATTGGACCATCACACCCCTAAAAAAGGCTTTTCACACTTGAAAAAGTGTCATGCTAAACCCTGGGTAAATTAATTCCTGTTATCTTTCTTAAACTTCAAATGGCTCCTAATTTTACTAAGAGTTAACACATATATCCAACACAATCTCACGGCAATTCGTAACGTTTTCATTTATTGGCTAATTCGTATGAATTGGTACGATCTAATTCGTACAATTTAGTACGATTTGCTTATCCCCTAATGACGGTTGGGGTTAGGGGTGGGGTTAGGTGCCACACCTCCTTTTTAAAATCGTACCATTTCGTACGACTGAAATCGTACGAATTCGTACGAATTAGCCACTAAACTGGCAAAACGCAAAATACTTACGTTTTCTCTTGAGATCAGGCTGGTATATCTGGTAGTCATTTTACACTCACACTGTTAGTTTATTAGCATATTTGTACATATTGCGCCATTGCGACAGATTAAATGCATTGTGCAACCTGTTTGTAAAAACAACATTGCACATTCTTATGTTATTAATTGGAAACTTCTATCAAGTTGTTCCTGATGAAATTGTATTGAGACTATAGTTTTAGTAATAAAATAATCTCTTTTTCACTCTAAAACACAAAGTAAGATATCTGATTGGTTGTCGTTGTTGTTGTTTTCTGCCCCCGTTTTCTGGGGGGGAGAACAAAACCGAAAACCACCCAGCTATACAAATTCCACACAGCCTATAACAAGCTGTCTGAATAAACACACACACCCATAAGCACCAAGCAAGTGACACACACACAGACAGCATCACACTCTCTCTCATTCACACGCACACACACACACACACACACAAACACAGCAACAAACAAGCTAAACACAGCATCACGCTCTATCATTCGCACACATACATACGCGTGCTCTCTCGCTTGGGAATCAGGAGCGATATTGTTAGACCGCCCGCTCCCGTCCTAAATTACACCAGTTACCGTTATTCGGAAATTTATTCCCGCGCCTCTGGTCGGGTCCTGCGGGAATGCAGACCTCTAGCTTGCACAAACAAAGCCACCGGACAGATGCACACTAGAAAGAATCATACTTGTCTAGCGTCAGAGAGATAAAAATATCTGTAAATGAGTTTAAACTACATTCCTAGGTATCATTTATTTTCCCCTCTAAACACTCAGCATGGCTTCTATTGTTACTTAAGTAGTTCATTGTTGTTGGGTTTTTCTCTATTCAAACTCTATTTCTCTATATATGAATCAGTGGGTGGGGCAAACTAAATGAAAAAAAAATAAAAAAAATCAGTGTGGATGTGCTTGTAAATAAGCATGATTACCATAATTAGGTTGAATACACAATATGCACATGCTGTTCTTGAGACATCATTTGTGTCTCACGCTGTACACCACAATGCATCACAAAAGGGGTGTTTAGCCTGCTGTGGATCATGTGGGAATGGTTTCTTTACCCAGGGTTCAAAGCAAGGATTAGAATGATGATTACAGTGTAAAAATTCTGTCCTTAATACTTTATTTACATCGACAAACTGGTCTTCCTGTTTTGTTTTTCTTTGCTCAAGCATGATAAAGTCTCCCATCTGCTGTGCCTTGAATCTGCCACTAGGACACACCTTCAATCAGTCACTAGCGAATGGCTGTCACTCACATTGGGTGTCTCCACCACTTATGCATCTTCCTGTGGCAGTCCTTTGCCACCCACACCTCCTCCTTTACCCAGTGACCTGCACTACACAGGCCCACAATCCCCTACTCCACCTGTGCGAAGGTTCCACCCAACACAAAACCTTTCTCCAAAATGCTCCCCTTTTTTTCTCAGCCAAGGACCAATCACTTCAGAGTCCTTAAACAGTCCCTGTTACTCCGATGAACTTCTCTACAGAGATAAACTGACAGCAATAGATGTAGCACAGTCTTTCAGTTTACCTATGAAACAGATCAGAGATCATGAACAAGAGATGGGTCACAATGGTAAACAGTTCATAGAAGAACTGAATGTAAAGGAGCAAACCTTGAAGCAAAACAGTGACCCATCTAGGCTAATAAGCGAACCTGATCCATATGGTGAGCTTATGTCAATGTTTCTTAAAAATCAACTATATAATGAACTCGAGTTCAAATTGGCCATTCGGTCGAAAAACATAGCTAATCAAGAAGTATTACCTGCTGAGCCACTGCCCATCAAGCCAAGCAGCAAATTAGAACAAAAACTAGAAAAACAGCACGATAACTATGAGAAAAAGGCTGAGGAGTTGTTGTCAGTTATTTGGAATGAGAAAACAGAGTTCCACAGTCCAGCCACGTTACAATGGGAGGATCTTCCTGAGTTGTACATACAAGAGGATGATGAAAAAATCTGCACTTCAGGCTTAAAGGAAGAGGTAGTACTTGCAGTGTGACAAAAGCATGTTAGTCCCCAAAACCCAAATTTTTTTTTGCAAAATTTACATAAATTTTTTGCATGTTAATTGACTAAATTAGAGGGGCCATACCTACTATCGATGTAGTATTACTTAGTGTTTCTTAACTTGACTGGCTATGTTGATAGCACATCAAAGGCACATTTTAAACAAGAAAGATAATAATAATGATTTCCGGTAGCATTGTAAAAGTATTGATCCGAAGGCTTAGCAGAGCCTTATTTTGCTTTTTTCCAGTGCTTAAATTGTAAACTGCGTGGTCCCGGAACAGATCAGGGTAACGGATCTGGCATGTTACCAGAGGAGGGAAAGGTGTCGCGGATGGAAAGGAAAAGGTGGGGGAGTGGGGCGGGGCAGGGGTGTGTGTGAGGAAGGGGATCAGTAAAATGAGGTGCCGGATCAGATTTCAGAGGTGCACAAATTATTCAGGCACAAAATAAGCCACGGCTTTTCCTATTATTTAGAAAAAAACGGTTGTGCCAAAAAACAAATATTGAAAGGCATATACATGCAAACATTGATAATTTTATAGTAGGATTTCTGAACCTTAAAATATATTTAAAGAGTTCACACTTAGCTGATGATTCGTTATAAGCTTGTTTGGCATGCTCTCCCAAGAGAGATCCCTGAGCTTATAAGATCCTTGAGTCCTGGGCTTCCTCCCGTTGGCAAGGTGAGCGGGGAATTTGAGCTCAGGGTGATTTCGATGAACTCCACAGACTTATTTCTGACTAATGACAGATGTAGGGATGCTGAGGAGAGATATATGACTTGCTAAGAGCTTGACAATGATGCTGGTTTGGTATGTTCAATTTACTTAGGTTGCGTGTTTTTTGAACTGCGGGAGGAATCCGGAGAACCCAAGGAGCCCGAGGAGAACGAGCAAACTTCACACAGAAATGCTGACCGGTTTAGTAAGGACTTTAACCAGAGATATTCTTGCTGTGAGGCAACAGTGCTAATCACTGGGCTGCTGCGGTGTGGGGGATTCTTCAAGACGAAGATACTGAGATAAAAATCTCTGGTTATTTATAGTGAGTTAGGAATCATCTGATTGGTGAATCGATCGAAAGCTAATGCGGGTCCAGACGTGGGCGATCATAAGCATGTGATACTCTCAAAATTAGTTTATAAATAAACTTTACTTAAAACAAGTAGTTCTGTTCCTTTATTTTGATTAGTTAAAGGTTATAAAATACTTTATAATCATTCACCTATGACTGTTGCTTGGCAATCATTCCACTATCTTTACTGAGTAAAAGAGTTAGTCCCACTAAACAGCCCTTAACTGTTTTAAATTCACTGTAAACTACAGCTTCTTGAGACTTAATGCTTTAGCCTACAGCATCTCCATTTACAAAGATTATGGGCAATAATTTACATTGATATGGCTCCTTTAAGTAGTCTTCATTACACTAGTTCTTGTGTAATTTTAAAAATCTGGTAAAAAGTTGTAAAGGGTAGTGAACCTCAGTAGCAGAACAAAATTTCAGCTCTGTTCTTCTCTTTGCCAGGCCGACTCCTCCTCCGTCACTCCATCTTTCCCCATGTCTTCTTCCCCCACCTCTGATTCCTCCCTTCCTCAATCTTCCACTGGCTTTTCTTCTACAAACACTGAATCATCTCCACTTGCTGTTCAGTGCACTCCGCTGTCTGCTGCCAAACATTCACCATGTTCTCCTCCAATTCATCTGGCTTCATCTTTTGAATTGGTGCCCTATTTCTCCTCTAACCTCGCAACCTCAGTTGTTTCTTCCCCTTCAGAGTCTCCTCTCCCTCAATTATCTCTCTATACTCCTCTTCCTTCCCCTCCTTCTTCTCCTCCCTACTCCCCAATCCCTCTTCCTCCACCTCCTTCAATGGCACTCAATATTCCTCCTCCTTCATCCTCTCCTTTGCCTTCTAATCCTCACAACACATCATCACCATCTCCTCCTCCTTTCTCTCCACAAGCTATTATTTCTTCTGTTCCTCCTCAGCTTTTCTGTTCTCCTTCTGCTCCTATTAACTCTACTTGCTCAGCTCTTCAAATCCTTCCATCATCTCCTTTTCCTTCATTACATCCTCCTCTTTATTCATCTTGCAAGCCTCTTCTACCAACTATTCCAGCCTCCCCACCCTCTTCTCCCTCTCCTCCTCCATCTTCTTCAGACATAGCTCTACCCTCTGCCCCTAAATCTCCTCCTCTTCTTTCCTCTCCTCCTCCCTCCTCTGTTCCTGTGGTCTCCTCTACATCCACCCCTCCATCCTCTTCCCCTGTTTGTCCTCTCTCCCCTCGTTCACAGCCACGATCTCCTAAGATTAAGGTAAAAAAAATGAACAATATTTAATCTTTTTGTAGATATGCATATATTCATTAACTTAAAGTAAACAAGGGTGACGTGTGGTGCATGTATGGTACATGTGCATTGGTGTATGTTGATTACCTATAGAATAACCTCATTAAACAGTAACAAAGTTCCTTTAAAGTTGCAGAATGGTGGGAATGTCTAGATGTCTGTACTTTGCACTGGGTCTGCGATATGAATGCTGAGGACTGTGGGGGTTGTAAAATTATGGGAGTTTTCTTGGAGAAATAACAAAACGGGAGATGGGTCTGAAATACGGGAGACTCCCGGAAAAAAGGCAATGTTGGCTGGTATAGTGGGCGGAGGTGAGACCCGCGTGAACCAGTGAGTGTTTACAAGTGTGGAGTCCCATGAGGGAGCTTCAGATGGAAACAGTTTTTTTGTGTTTACCTTATAATTAAAGTTGTTGCACACCCGCCGATTCCCGAAAAAAACACTAGCGAAGAAACTCGATACAGCAGAACATAAAAACCTACAAGGATACATGCATGGCTAAGCACGTTACATGCACTGTGGGTCACACCGATCACTCAACACAGAAGTATAAACCAGGCTTAAGGCAGGTCATTTCACTCAGCGACCATCTTTGAAAACCCTTTCTCTTAGTATTCTCGGCATTCTGTCTTAATGAGGAAACATCAAATTCTCCAAAACTGTTTGCCAAGCTTACGATTACATTACATATTTGGAACCACCAATGAAATTACCCATCAACTGTCTCATAAGTTTCGTTTCTAAATGTTCGAATCAATCAAAATCTGCATATTTTCAGGTTGCTCAAGCAAATGTGCATGCCCACAAGGAACAAGATCACGACACCAACCTCATGGTCGTTCTACACATTATGATCGAGCTGCTCTTCTGAAGTAATTCACAACTTGGTATTGATGGCGAATCTCCTCCAGAAATGAAAGCGACTGTTTACAAGTTTGTGGGTGTTTGAGTAATTGTGAATAAATGTGATGTGTGAATGAAAGGACGGATTGTACCTCGCGTTCTTTTCATACAAATTACAAAACTAAAAAAATATATAGTTTTCAAGTGATCTCACTTCATGTTCATTTAAAAGCACAAATTTTAAGCTTTATCTGGATATATTTTATTATATCTGTGAAGCAAGTATTCACTGAGGTTCCAGTGCGTTTGTTGACCACCAAACTGTCATAAAAGCACATGTCTGCTCCGAGCGTCTTTGTCAATCTTTAGCGATTGAAGATTGGCTCCTGTACTAGTAGAGGGGGCTTCATTCGCCATATTGATCATTACACGTTTCCCCATTCAAAACTATACATTAGGGATGGGAAGATTAACCGATATGTATCGATACGCGGTCATGCGCGTGCACGATGCGAGTGCATCGGTTGAGCAGCAGAGGATGAATGAAATTTTGGAAGCAAATCGAGATGCATCGGTTTTTGCGAGATGCATCGATTTTTCCGAGATACAGCTTATATTTTTAATATAGAATGTATTTTTTATTTATTAACAAGTGTTGTCAACCTGTTTTTGGCGCATAATTTAATCGACCTACATAAAGTAAGCCTTAGCAACGGATTTGCGGATGTGCACACACTACAACTCAGTGTATCAGGTGTGCGGATAAAGATAGTGGAGCGCCCTCAGAAAGCACGAGAAGCAAAACAAACATTTTATTCCCCACTGAGTTTTAAATCTAAAGTATGGCAAGCAACATTATGGATTTAAGGATGGACAACATGACAGGACAGATGCAATTTGCAAAATGTGCCGTGCATCTGTAAAATACGCGGGCAGTACGACTAATCTGAAATCTCACTTGAAGCGGCGCCACGGTGTTGTTGTGAAAGCATCTTCTAGTGTTTCTGCATCCCCGGCTTCCGCACTGCTTCAACCAGCTCCAAAAGTGGTGAGAAAAGCATTGAAAGTTTTTTTTTTCCATGCGCAACAGTTCTGCTCGCTCTACGCCAATAACGAATGCTATTGCATTGTTCATCTGCAAAGATATTCAGCCTAGTGTCACGGAGAACGAAGGTTTTAAACACCTCCTCCTGTTAATTTTTATTTAATTATAATAATAATAATAATGATAAAAATAATGGGTGTCACGGTGGCACAGTGGGTAGTTTGACCACCTCACAGCAAGAAGATTGCTGGTTTGTTATATTTTTATTAGCCTGTTGTTTACAGTGACTGTGATGTTTCAACGCAGCATAACACTGCTAGTTCACGACCTTAAGTTTTGAATAATCAGTGGCAAAATATATCTTTGTAAAACTTGTTTTCATAGTTGAAAAGTTAAATCACAATTCTTGTTGTGCAATGCTAAATTTATTTATGTTGAAAGAGTGCAAATATATATATATTTTTTAATATATATTGCACTTATACATTCTGTTTATCTTGAAAATACTTAAATAATATGTGCTATATTATCTAAAATGGCCCTCTACTGTAAACTGACACTCTGGCTCTGAGAGAAGAGCCAGTTTGTAAAAAAAGTCTTGGTTTTGCTTGGTTAATAAATAATCAAACTCATTCAATGGCACAGCATCCTCTTTCACATCATCTCATAAACTTGATCTAATTAGTTAGTGCTGAAATATCGCATTGTATCGTGATATGGGTGTGAATCGTATCGTGTTGCATCGCAATATGTCACAAATGTATCGCTAATATATCGGATTGTATTCTTTGTATCGAGATGCGTATCGGATCGGCATTATAGCTTAGATGCCCAACCCTACTATACATGTGACATGTATGTGTATACTATGGTCTTTGACAGTAACAGACCCCTGCTTTGACATACTCGCCCAGTTCTGATTTGAAGAAGTGTGTCTGGCGTAAGAGGTAGATGCACTTTCAAAGATGCTAAAGACCACAGCATCTTGTGTCTGTTACTAGAACACAGAGGTGAGAGGAATTAGGTTTACTTTACAGCTCTTGCACCTGTTGCACTCACCCCTATCTGGGTCACGGCACCAATTTAACCATTCTAGTTCACCTCGCATTACATTAAGCATTATTCAAACTACTATTCCCAGTGTGCTAACAATTGCTAAGACCACAGCCTCTAGTGACTGTCGCTAGTATCTTTCTTAAAGCAAAAGGGGTTTATGTAAACAGCTGTTTCTTTATGGCCTGTATTACACTTACTTCCCTGAACCTAGCTCCCATCAAATATACCAGCGTAGCCCCTCTGGTTCTGCTCCCATTATTTTAAGTGGGATTCAAAATATTATAATAACTTTACAATAATAATAATAAGGATGGAACTCTCATCTGGGTCACGGCACCAATGTAAGCCCTCTGGATCTGCTTGTTTTGATGCCAGCAGAATTTGAACTGGCAACTTGCATACTTTTGATGGGGAAATTATTGACACAATACAACCAGCTGAACTGTCCTTATTTTCCTTTGTCCGTTATTCTAAATATGGCAATACTGAAAGTAGGATGAGTGTGTTTGTGCATGTATGTCTACAATATGTCTCTTACTTGCAAGCTAAATGGTACTTAAGATAACTTAGTAACAATACTAAAGATTCTGTAATGACTACTAAAGCTTAACCGTACTTAAATTGGAAATAACATGAGCAGTGATTTTATGACGGAGAATGAGGTTGTGAATAACTCGGAGATGGATTTTGTATGAAACCGCTGACTGGCTGCTTTGCATTTGATTCTTGCAGACAGTTTATAGGCAGGAAGTGGTGGTTGAGGGTAAGCCACCTCGTAGCCCAATTTCCACAAGGAGGCGCTGTTTTTCTCCCTGTTTATCACCCAGTAGAGCACGAAGGGTAGGATGGAGTGTGCTGTGACACTAGCAGCATTGCAGACTGGAAAATAAAGCCTAATCCTTTTTTACAGTTCTGTGATCTCAAACTGGGTGAATTTCCCTTTTGTGTGTATTGTAACAACAGGTTGTCTCTAAGCTCTGTGATGATGATGAAGACTCACAGAATGACATCCTGTGCCTGGATTTAGCATGATGTTCTGATGCATTAAAGTGCTACATGTATATTATACAGTTTTTTTCTTTCTTTCAGAAAATGATGCAGGATTCTCAGCATGCAGGTGGTGACCCGTAAGTATTTTTTAGCACTTTAATTTTGACTATTCACTAATGATATTCTATTACTAAAATGTTATTAAATGTTTAATATAGCTTCCAAGCTGTGTATAACTATGTGCCTCGTAATGAGGATGAGCTGGAGCTGAAGGAAGGGGATGTTGTTGATGTTGTCGAGAGATGTGACGATGGCTGGTTTGTTGGTAAGTCTTTTATAAAGATAATACAGTGCCTTTATAGGTGGTATGCAATTTTCAAGGGTTTGTGATTTGTTAATATAGACTATTCTACATTGTGAAGACAAAATTGTCGGCCCTCCTGTGAAATTTGTTGTTGAATGACTTTTTGACAATGAATTAAACTACCTTTCCTTGTTAACCTTAATAATCTAGTTAAGCCTTTATTGTGCACTTTAAAATTATAATTTAAACTATATGTATATACACTCACTGGCCACATTATTAGGAACACCTGTCCAACTACCCGTTAATGCAAATTTCTAACTCAACTCAATGCATTTAGGCATGTAGACATGTTTAAGACGATCTGCTCCAATTCAAACCGGGGGAAGAAATGGGATTTAAGTGGCTTTGAAAGTGGTGTTGTTTGTGCCAGACGGGCTGGTCTGAGTATTTCTGAAACTGCTGTTCTGCTGGGATATTCATTCACAACGATTTCTAGGGTTTACAGAAAATGGTCTGAAAAAGAGAAAATATCCAGTGACCGGCAGATCTGTGGCGGCAAATGCCTTGTTGATGCCATAGGTCAGAGAAGAATGGCCAGACTGGTTCGAGCTAATAGAAAGGCGACAGTAGCTCAAATAGCCACTCGTTACAACCGAAGTATGCAGAAGAGCATCTCTGAATGCACAACACATCCAACCCTGAGGTGGGAGGGCTACAGCAGCGGAAGACCACACTAGGTGCCACTCCTGTCAGCTAAGAACAGGCTCACCAAAATTAGACAATAGATGATTGGAAAAACGTTGCCTGGTCTGATGAGTCTCGATTTCTGCTGCGACATTAAGATGTTAGGGTCAGAATTTGGTATCAGCAACATGAAAGCATGGATCCATACTGCCTTGTATCAATGTTTCAGGCTGCTGGTGGGGGTGTAATGGTGTGGGGGATATTTTCTTGGCACACTTTGGGGTCATTAGTACCAATTAAGTACCAATTATTAGTACCATTGTGTCAAAGCCACAGCCTACCTGAGTATTGTTGCTGACCACGTCCATCCCTTTATGACCACAGTGTACTCATCTTCTGCTGACTACTTCCAGCGGAATAGCGCGCCATGTCATAAAGTGCGAATCATCTCAAACTGGTTTCTTGACCAAGATGCTCAAATGGCCTCCACAGTCACCAGATCGTAATCCAACAGAGCCTTGTTGAATCTATGCCATGGATTAAAGCAGTTCTGAAGGCAAAAGGGGGTCCAACTCAATACTATTAAGGTGTACCTAATACAGTGGCCAGTAATAGTAGATTTCTAAGTATGTTTACATTTTTCGCTATGGTTACTGATTATGTCTCTCACCTATCTCTGATTAAATTACATCATTGGTTGTATTCAGTTTAGCTTGTTGTTCTTGATATTCATTTGTTTCATATGTCATTTTTTTCTATTTGACACACACTGTGACTTTTCTGTGAGTGAGGGATTTCATGAAAGCTGTTGTATTGTATTGCTGATGCACTGTGCTTGTTTTTAGGTACGTCTCGGAGAACCAGGTTATTTGGAACGTTCCCAGGAAACTATGTTAAGCCGCTTTAACAAAGAGGAAATAATGGCACAACTATGGCCACTCCAGTGCCTACTGTGTAGGGCCAACGAGGCGCCTCACCTTTGAGAAAGTGTGTCTTTGCGTGCGAGTGTGTTCACAGACACTACAGTTTTAGCTCTGCCATTTCTGCACAGACGAACCACGGAAGTTACTTCACTGAGCACTTTTTTTTTTCGTGCCACCACGCAGTCTCCTCGCCGTTCTTTCACCTGCTTTTCTGACGATAGCACACACAGCAATGTTTTTCCAATGTTTTGTTATTTTCCAGGAATTAGCACGATGAGGATTCAGACACGATATTGAGTAAGGTCAGTAGATCAGTACGATCTGAGAGACAAAACTCAGGCATCAATGTTGAACTGAATGTGTGTGTGTGTGTGTGTGTACTTTTTTATATTGTTTATGAGGACACTATATTGTATAATGACATGGTTATGACCTACTGTAGTCTATTAAGGTGGATTACAAGGGATGCCTTGTGTTCTTGTAATTTTAAAAGCTAAAAATTATACTTGCGTATTTTAATATTCAAAATTTGCCACCAAAAAACATATAATAAGCATTTTTGCAGTATAAAGTACAATACGCCTATGATAGTCCTCATAAACCATATATACACAGCAAAATCCTCTGAGTAAAATTTACTGAGTTCATAGTGTATTTTGTCCCTCTCTAAATTGAGTAATAGTGAAGCTGCGGACACACTTGAGTTTGTGTCGTACAAGGGGTGGGATTAAACAGGATAATTGCACATTAAAAAACGTGAGTGAAAAAACGTGCGTAGCCATGTATTTATACTTCTGCACGCTGTTTCTGTTGCTCTGCAATAACACTTCCTAAACACTAGCTGGCAGTAGGTGTTTATGTTCCTCTGTGTCGAGTTTTTTCACTGGTGTTTTGTTTTTTTCTGAACACTACCTTACTATACATGTGGCTCAAACTCACTCATTTTAAGGCGGGAATCGACAGACGTGCAACAACTTTATTCACATGTAAACACAAAACAACAGTTTCTATCTTGAGCTCCTTCACGAGACTCCACACTTGTAAACACTTGCTACATCGAGCTTGTGCGGCTCTCACCTCACGTCGTTGCGATGTGTAGTTACATTTTTTTAAAGGTGTGGGCCAGCGTCGCCGAAGTCCACAATGAGGGCTATGCTTCCACGCATAGGTTGCACCGGAGCATACACGTTCGCTTGACGCAGAAATATAAATCAGCCTTAACTCAGCCATACAATGTCAGATCTGCCTGAAAATTCCCAGGTTTGATAAGATTTCACTCCTGAAGACATCTACATGCCAATATTGAGTTACAGTCATACCGCCACCTGCTGACAGAAGGAAGTTTGGCATAGATCAGTGATTTTCTCTGATTTTTAAAATATTTGTCTGCTTAAATTATTATTGTCCACTATTCTCTGTTATCCTAAGACCACCGGGTGCAGCTTTAATTTATGTCTGTTTTTTGAGTGTTTCATATGTTCAGTGCAGTTTATAACTTGATAAAGGTATACTTAGTCAGGTAATTCTCATTAATATCACTATATGGAATTTTGTAGAGTCTGGCAGAAATAAGGCCAAACAAGTCGGTAATAAGTAAAGCTGCTGTTTTATCTTAAGCCCTGCTTACCCTGTGAGATTTCAGCCACAATTTTTTCATCTAAGACAAACTTGGGAAATCCTAAAAGATTCCTGAAATCCTAGACTAAAATAAGTGGTCTTTGATCGTTAGTTTGACATGTTCGCTAGCAGCCGCTTATTGCCCTTTTCGATCAGATTTTTTCTCCGATGAAGTTCTGGCAGTGTCAGAAGATTTCAGACACTTTCCTGCTTTGTGACAACAGCTGTGATGAGCGTCAATCCAAGAACCAATAGGAGCTCCTCATTTGATGAAGCAATCCATGCGACAATTCAAACATCCATGGGGAAATGTCAAAACAGTTTTTTTCTTCCTGGTTTAAGCTACAGATTGTTTATGTTTGCTGTTTGGAATCATTTCAGAACGCAGTATAGTGAAAGTGTCATGGGTGGATGGCGTCAAACTCCGAGGGCATTTCCATTCGTGTTTGGTGCGTATTCATTGTCTTTCAGTCTGAGTTTATGACAGCTAAGATCTTATAATGTGACAAGAGAGCCATGTTCTTGCAGTCTGACATGCTACAATTGTTCAGGATTATAAAAAAAAAAATCACAAAGTGTGAACGGGCCTTTAGGCTGTGACTGAAGGTTGATGTAGTTTTGTGTGTTCTCTTCTGTTTCTGCTTATTAGCAGCAGGTGTTCATCATCATTGCTTAATTAGTCCCTTTACTGTTTCATTACCTTTAATTCTGCTGCTGAGTAACTTTTACTCAATTTAGCGAGGGACCAAATGCACTGTGAATTGAGTCAATTTTGCTCAGAGGATTTTGCTGTGTACAAGTGTGTGTGTGTGTGTGTGTGTGTGTGTGTATTTAACATGCAAAGTTAATAGCAATAGAGACCACTGGTTATAAAAGGTGATGAATAGTTTCGTTTAAAATGATCTAAAAGTGATTTAATGGACAATTTATGATGTTGCTCATTCCCCGTTTTTGTGGCCAAAATAAAAAGGTAATAGGAACATTTAAGTGTATAGGAAACATACTTTTGCCATACAGACTTATGAAATATGAAGGATTTTTGCTGTTGTTTAAGTGGCAATCTTTAATATAGGATAATGTCCATATAATTATCAGTGCATTGGGTATTTGTATAAGTTGTCTTTAAAATGAAAGTGCATTGAAATTCTGAAAAAAGAAAATGCTTTTATGGGATTTGGTATAAAGTATTTGATTATTGAACATGTTTTTATAATGTTTACTTGAGACTTTTATGAATAGGCTGTTTTAGAATTGTAAACCAGATTTTTACACAGTAACAATCTGTAAAACTGCATTAGAAATGAATGGCAACAAATGTTACAATATCAAGGAGAGCCTGCTAAAATGTTTCACTTTTTATTTGTTCAACTAATTTATCTGAAAGGGTTCATCTTGCAATTTTCCTTTTGAGCATTCTGGTATAACATTTGAATTATGTAATTTATCTGCCACGTTTCACATGAGATGCACTCTTTTAAAAATTGCATTGTATAGCGCAATAGAGAGAGAGAGGGGGAGGGGGGTTGTTGGTCTTTGATGAATGTTGTTTATAAGCTTGTCCGACATTTAAAAATTCATGTTTAGTTTTTGAAGGATTTGTACATCAGTATTTTCTGCACTAAGTGTATCACTTGTTGTGTTCTCATCTGAAAACATATAGCTTGTGTTGCATCAGCTTTTACGAGTATGTTTATTCAGTGTATGAAAAAGTATGTCTGAAGTTCACAGGCAGTAAAGCAATCTTAAAGCACCTTAAGCATTTATTAGTTCTCTTATTTTTGTTTTCTTTAAAGTTGAAGTGTGTTCATATGATTTCATGAAATATTGCATCATTTTGTAGCGTGATATGCATAGGTAAACCAATTGTAATTCATCCAGCTGACCCTTTTCACAGACTTTCCTGATGCGTTTTCACAGTCATCATTAGCATGAAAAGTAATGCAAGGTATTTAATGTAATAACGCTATTATTTGTGTTATTTTACCTTGGCATGACTAACTGAAGTCTCTTTCTCTCCTCTTATCAACTTGATATGGACGTTCTGAAAGGCCATGCACTCAAATATTTTTTCTTACTAGTTTTATCGTGATCTCAACATAACTAAAAGTAGTTTTTTTTTGTGATCACAACGTATTAAATGTTGTTTTCCCGTTATTCCGACTTAATTTTTGAGGGTTATATGCTTAGAATAAGCATATTTTGTCTATATTATACAGAAGATAAAAAATATAGTATTAGTTATATAAAGTATATTAGTTATAAAGCAACGCATGTTTTTTTCCTATTTGATTGTGACCCCTGGGGTCTCAATATGTTAGATTCAAGACAGCATAGGGTCAGATGCAGCAGATTGATTTCTTGGCACCAGGGTAAACTTTCTGACACCTTTACGGCACGCGTATACATTAAAATGAATTACAGGCAACGACTAAACATGGCGGATTATCTCTGAGTGGCGTTCTTCAAAAATAAACAAAGAATAGACTTGAGGATATTGGTGTGTGTGAACCATATTGGTGGTCGTGAGTCACTGGCATTGTTATTTTTTGGGTCGCAGGGTTGAAAAGTTTGGGAACCCCTTTTGTATATGATTCTATTTCATTATTTACAACAATATTTCCTAAACTGGGGCTTCACAGTGGCACAGTGGGTAGCCCGACAGCAAGAAGGTCACTGGTTTGAGCCACGGCTGGGTCAGTTGGCATGTTCTTCCTGTGTTTGTGTGGGTTTCCTCCGGGTGCTCTGGTTTACTACACAGTCCGAAGACATGAATTAGGTGAATTAGGTAAACTAAACTGTCTGTAGCATATGTGTGTGTGAATGAGTGTATGGATGTTTCCCAGTGATGGGTTGCAGCCTGAAGAGCATTTGCTGTGTAAAACTGCTGGATAAGTTGGCGGTTCAATCAGCTGTGGCAACCCCAGATTAATAAAGGTACTGAATGAATTCCCTTAACTGTTTATACCATTTTAGAGCTTGGGTTTTAGATGGTGCAAAATAAGTTGTTACATGTAGGAATTAGATAATGAAGAATAATGAAGATCCTACTTTTGCTTTAATGAATCTATGGCAGTTAGACAACTATAGTTGTTTATAATTACATGAAAAAGTGAATCCCTTTAAATAAGGCAATATGGCTAACACTTTACAACAAGGTTGTATAAGTTAATGTTAGTTAAAGCATATACTAACATGAACAAATAACAAACAACACATTTGTTACAGTACTTGTTCATGTTAGTTAACATGAAAATACAGTTGTTCATTGTTAGTTCATGGTAACTCACAATGCATTAGCTCATGTTAACAAGCATGACTTAGGATTTTAATAATGCATTACTAAATACTAAAACTAAGATTAATAAATGCTGTACAAGTGTTTTCCATAATTAGTTCATGTTAGTAAATACATTAACTAATGAAACCTTGTTTTAAAGAGACCGCAATATGAAATATCTACAGCATCTAGGACATCCTCTTATGCCAAATAAGCAGAAAAATAAGTCATAAACTGAAGAAAACAACTTTTGTTATGTCAAAATGACCAGAAAATTAAGTTGTTATAACAAGAAAACAACTATTGATGTGCCAAGATCACAAAAAAATGAAGTCATTATAACAAGAAAACAACTTGATATGTTGAGAATGAGAAAACGAGAAAGAAAAATATAATACCGCATGGCCT